CATCTTGTAGAAACCCCTCTCCAGGTTGCGCACACATCTGGCATGCTGTAAGCTGATAAACGTGAGAGAATGCGGTTTGTAAATATTTTCATTTTTTTTTAAGTAAGAGATATTGATGTTGTATTATGGGGTGTCAGCCAGTTGTATTTTGAGCAGAAGTGATATGATGATATTTACTATCACAGCTACAATAAGATATTTACTTGGAATGGACAATACTTTGATGTTGCTGGATATCACAGGAACTATGATTCATTGTGGATTGGAGTAATTGGAAAGCTGTATCTGTTGTTCTGTATAGTGCTATCTATGGCCTGTATGTACAACCACCGTGTGCTCTATATATTTATTTAAATACCAAGCTGCTATAAATGTTCCCGAGTTTGCAGGTTGCTGCGGGCACTTTATAAGTGTTATAAACCATTAACATTCTTGCACTGTCAGTGCTGTAACATGCCATTTCCTTGGTGTCAGCCTGGGGATAATGACCGACAACATTAAATATAAACAGCACTTTTTTTTAGGTTTATCGCAGGTGCTCTGCCTACAGCTTGCTCCAGATTCACAGCAAATATCCGCGTTTCTCTGCTGTCTGTACTACTGCGAATGAAAATAATTATTTACAATTAAAATCAAATTATGTTTTATTAATTTGGATCGCTGCCTCGAAATGTATTCTACCTTGTAAATAGACATGTATGTTACGGAGTAGTTTCTGCTATAAACTATGATTCTAGGTGTTTAAAGGGACACTACCACCAAAAAATGAAATGTTCCTAGTTTTTTTTATGGTGGTGACATTTTATATGAATTTTGTTTTTTTCATCTATGTTTAGTTGATAAAATATTTTACTTTGTATGTGTGCATCCATTTTGTGATATTTTGTGTTGTAAACTGTCCCACCCTACAATGTCTTTACATCACTTGTTCCTCAATGTGGAGTCTATAAGTCAGATTTACAGAAATCCGACTTACAGACTTGCATGTGTGTGGGCAGTGATGTAAGTTACATTATCAGGGGGGTAGTATGTAAGGGGTGGGACAAAATAATTTTAAAACTTTCTTCCAGGTGCCATGTGAAGTCAGGTAAGACCCTTATTCTCCCCACTACCCCTGCAACCCTCTGTTCAGCATCTCTTCCCCTGCAGAGCCTGCCCTACAAAAAAGGCTTTTGTGTTTTGTTTTGGACGAGTCTACAGATTGATACTATTTGAGATGACTTGTAATCCCGGATATTGAATGAGGTCACACATTACCCCAGGTGGATCAGCTTTCCCCATTTTTGTATTGTCTAACAGGGTGGGGTTTTATTCACAAAACTCTGAGTTTTAGTCATGTAAAATCTGAATGGCAAAATGGAGGCTCGAATAGCCAAGCTGTGACTCTAGCTAAATTGGGGAATCCTAAAACTGGATCACCTCCCTGCCATGCGATGTGTCTCCAATTGGTGAAAAAGGCATGTTATAGTTACCATCTTTCCCCGAAAATAAGAACGGGTCTTTTATTGATTTCCCCCCCAGAAAACGCACTAGGGTTTATTTTTGGGAGATGTCTTATTTTCAGGGAAACAGGGTATTAGGTCCCAAGTAACTTTGCACAGATGTATAGCTAATTAGTCTCATACCCCAACCTAATTAAAAGAACACTCCCACCATCTCTATGAAGTGGTTATGGTGGCAAAAGTTACTGAGCACCATGTTATCTTCACGGGTTAAACTACTTTCAAACAACATTTTGGGATTTTGATATTATGCTGGTTAAAACTAAATGTATTAGACTGACTAGAAGAGCTTGGCTACTGGCCTTCAGTTTGTGGCTTTTTATTTATATATATATATATATCTATATCTTACATTCTAAGAAGATTATAACAGGGTCATTTGCTAAAGTGAGAATTATCAGGAATTCTAAGTGAGTTAAACGCCCATTTCAAATGTAAGGCCAAAGTAGCCAAACTGAAAACATTGTCCAAGTCTGCTATATGTCCAGTTCAGCTACTTTTGCCTGAAATTCACTTTGAATTCCCACATTAGTGAAAAACCCTAAGGTGGAGCTTTCACCATGGAAACCAGTGGAATGTTCCTGCTAATCGCACATCTTATGGGCGGGGCCCTTGTTACCTTTTGTATTGGCTTGTGCCCCACCCCGGCCCCTCATTGTACAGCGCTGTAGAGTATGTTGGTGCTTTATAAATGCCAGTAATTATACTAATTGCAGCTTGACTTTACAGGGACCTTTAAAGCCCTGGGGGTCTGGGCCATCTCTAGATAAACAGCTGGGTTACATCATATGTTTGTTAGAGAGAGGAACAATTCCCAGTATTATCAGGGACATTATCAGCTGGTTGGGGAAAACACGACCCATTGTGAATTGTCCTCAGAGAAACTCATTATCTCCACAATGGGAGGTGTCCACACATGAAAAGATTTACAGATTGCGCAAAAAGTCCTTGTACTTGGTCAGGCAGCTCATCCTGCCTTTCTCACATTAAATCAAGGAATCTGTAAGTCCTGTTTACAAAGTTCAAAGGATGAGTCAAACAATGGATTACCTCCCAGAGAAAGTCCAGATAGAGAGACACTGTCTGTGTCTCAGTACAGGGGATCACCCTGCTTTCTGCAGACCATCCATCTCTCAGTATATGATCTAGCACTCAGTATATGATCTAGCACTCTGTATGTGATCTGGCACTCTGTATGTGATCTGACACTCTGTATGTGATCTAGCACTCTGTATGTGATCTGACACTCTGTATATGATCTAGCACTCTGTATATGATCTAGCACTCTGTATGTGATCTGACACTCTGTATATGATCTAGCACTCTGTATGTGATCTGACACTCTGTATATGATCTAGCACTCTGTATGTGATCTGGCACTCTGTATGTGATCTGGCACTCTGTATGTGATCTGACACTCTGTATATGATCTAGCACTCTGTATGTGATCTGGCACTCTGTATGTGATCTGGCACTCTGTATGTGATCTGGCACTCTGTATGTGATCTGGCACTCTGTATATGATCTAGCACTCTGTATGTGATCTGGCACTCTGTATGTGATCTAGCACTCTGTATATGATCTAGCACTCAGTATGTGATCTAGCACTCTGTATATGATCTAGCACTCTGTATGTGATCTGGCACTCTGTATGTGATCTAGCACTCTGTATATGATCTGGCACTCAGTATGTGATCTGGCACTCTGTATATGATCCAGCACTCAGTATGTGATCTGGCACTCTGTATGTGATCTGGAACTCTGTACAAGATCTCAGCCCCCCTAATTCCTGTATGAATAGTACTATTTGATCAATTCCCTCTCTTGTGTGTAGGCTTTATATATTTGACTGGATTCTGGGATCTAATATCCCCAACAAAACGTCAGATAATTAACATTATTTGAGGCATAGGGATGTGCCCACTTCTATGAGTTAAATGTACACAAAATACAAAATACAAGAAGTAGAATTAACCTTTAATAGATCGTATTTATGATCTACAACTGTTTAGATAGTGGTTATGGTACACATTTGTTTAGTTTATTTTCCCCTCTTTTGCCATCATAATGAGGAAACCATTACAACGGTGCCCACCATATTATACAAGTTCATTTTCCCCCAATATATATTAAATAATCTAGTAAACTTGTTTTCCTTTAGCAGTCTTTATTACCTATATATTACCTAAGTGACATATTATGCTGATAGAAATAAGTTCTCTGTCAACAAATGACTTGCCACCGGTTTGTATCTATTAAGTCAGACAATGGGTATCTTTCTCTTTAAGGTGGAACGAGCTGGATGATGTGATCCCAAGCTACTAATTAATAGGTTATCAGATTGCTAACGAATAAACGGGCGGGCACTTACCCTATTTAACCGATGGACTCGCAAGTGCCGAAATGCGCATCGAGTCACCGGCACTTTTTGGACAATATGTACTAAAATGCATTTGTTTTTAGTTCACCTTGCTCTTTGGTTGGGCACTTTAGCTACCTTTTTACTCTAAGGAAAAGGGCTTGCTAGTCATACTGGGGACTGCCTCGTAGAGGGTTAACATATTATTATTATTATTATTATTATTATTATTATTATTAAGAGCATAGTATCTACCTTTAGAATTTAGAGGCAGGTTATTCTTCATATTTTTGTGAACTACACTCCAATGTTGCCTTTGTTCTAAACTCTAATCCTAGCTCCTTTATTATCCACTGCTTTATATTTAAATACCTGAGGGACTGTCCCGAAGCAGTAGGGGGTGGCATATTATTATTAGGGGTATAGAATTTATCTTTAGACTATAGAGGCAGGGAATACACCATACCTGTATTAACTACACTTTAATGTTGCATTTTTCCAAAATTTAATTCTCCTGTACTGCTTCCTGCTTTGTATTCAAACATTGCTTTTATACCAAATGCTGCCTTCTAGCAATCTGTATACCCGGTTAATTGTCCCTCTTTGCAACTTAATGTGAGTTCTTAGTGGTATTTTCTAGTTTCACTGATTGAGCTCTGTTACATAACATATTTTTGTAATATCTAACCCATTATACCAGGTGGCTACCACTTAGATACAGTGTGTCTGTCTTATTCTCTTATAGGAGGTTTAGTTAAAAGAGGAGATTTATTCATTTCTTTTCCTAGTTCTTCCAATATTGGAATAATTTAAGTATTTATAATACAGCTACACTCTATATATCTCTCTAAATCATATCTCATTATTCAATAGGTATAGTCTACTAACCACAGTAGCTTTTTCACACAATCACGTTTGTAGAGCACACTATTTTTGGTGGGCTGTTTATATTGGTTTTATTTCAATTAATAAAGTTTGTATTTTACCTTGATATAGTGGCTTCAATTAATGGTAATCTCTTGGGAAATTCCTACTTCTTTGGGTCTTTCTTAAACTCTCTTTATTGTCTAAATTAGTTAGCCCCTGTTGAGATTACTTCAAGTAACCAATTTCGGAGACTCCTACTTATGTGTAGGAATCTCACAGCTATGTTTATGCGTCTAGGCACAGCCTTTAGTTATGCAATCCAACACAGATCGCCATTTGTGTCCATTCTTGGTACCTACCCCCACTCCCTCACTCTGAACCATTTCAATTTGGCCATGGATGAACCTATAAAAATGCCACCTAATGACGAAATGTAGCCACACGTGGTGCATCAGTGAACGCCTTCATTAACCAACGCATGCTGAGATTGATTTACATATGGCATCATAAGACGTTCAGCTGGAATGATGAGAATTAAAACTAATCACTGTAAGAAATTATCATTAATAAGGAGTCTCTACAGTAATTAACATCTACCCTCTTTATAGCCTCTCCCACTGGCTCTGATCAAATTGACATCTAGTTTTACCCAGACTAGGCTATCTGGGGAGCAATGTGTCTGTCCACTGTATCTGCTAGCTTGCTGTAAATGTATAGCGCATGTGTGTAATTTGTACATCTTCCATTCATGTTTTGTGTTTATGCGTGCAGTGTGTCTGTGCGTGCATTCTTCATATGTGTGTCAGTGTTTGTGCATACATTCTACTTGTTCGTGCTGTGGCTTGTGCATACATTCTGCATGTTCGTGCTGTGTGCTTGTTCATACATTCTGCTTGTTCGTGCTGTGTGTTTGTGCATACGCTCTGCTTGTTCGTGCTGTGTGTTTGTGCATACGTTCTGCTTGTTCGTTCTGTGTGTTTGTGCATACGTTCTGCTTGTTCGTGATGTGTGTTTGTGCATACGTTCTGCTTGTTCGTGATGTGTGTTTGTGCATACGTTCTGCTTGTTCTTCCTTTGCCTCACTTGGCAATTTATCAGCTAGGTATCAGCTTACGGGCAGGGCTCTATCTACCTCTTGTATTTGTCTGTGTATATTGTACATTCTCCACTAATTGTACAGCGCTGTGGAATCTGTTGGCGCTTTATAAATACCAGTAATAAATAAATAAATAAATGTGCCTGTGCATGTATTGTGCAGTTTATGACATATCTGTTCTCACATTGTGCATGCATTAAGTGAGTGTCTGTGCATTGTATCTGTGCATTCATCCATTCCATAGAAATAGTCAGCCTTCTCTCCAATATCTGGATAACTGTGATTATATTGATTCGATTTGGGTAATCAGATTAGTTCCTCCCATACATTATGTATCGCCCTCTCTATAGACCTCTTTATGTGTAGAAGCTCTCCCAGTAGCATGTGGTAGAATAGCGCCTGTTTAGCACCTGTTTCAGAATAGCGCCTGTTTAGCACCTGTTTCAGAATAGTGCCTGTTCAGCACCTGTTTCAGAATAGAGCCTGTTTAGCACCTGTTTCAGAATAGCGCCTGTTCAGCACCTGTTTCAGAATAGCGCCTGTTCAGCACCTGTTTCAGAATAGAGCCTGTTTAGCACCTGTTTCAGAATAGCGCCTGTTTAGCACCTGTTTCAGAATAGCGCCTGTTTAGCACCTGTTTCAGAATAGCGCCTGTTTAGCACCTGTTTCAGAATAGCGCCTGTTCAGCACTTGTTTCAGAATAGCGCCTGTTTAGCACCTGTTTCAGAATAGCGCCTGTTTAGCACCTGTTTCAGAATAGCGCCTGTTCAGCACTTGTTTCAGAATAGCGCCTGTTTAGCACCTGTTTCAGAATAGCGCCTGTTTAGCACTTGTTTCAGAATAGCGCCTGTTCAGCACCTGTTTCAGAATAGCGCCTGTTTAGCACCTGTTTCAGAATAGCGCCTGTTTAGCACCTGTTTCAGAATAGCGCCTGTTTAGCACCTGTTTCAGAATAGCGCCTGTTCAGCACCTGTTTCATGATAAATCTTTCTGTTGGTTTAAATCAGGAGTAGTCAGCATTTTAATACCTATCGCCTACATTTGTATCTTTGATGGTAAAATTTCTTACCGCCCACCGGTGCCGCAGTATTTTGCGCAAGTGCGAAGTTGTTTTAGAAAGGAGGTTTAAAATAAATATATTTAAAAAGTACTTAAATTGATCTTTCTATTTGTACTTTATGCATGTTTATAATGTTTGTAACTTTATGAAGTTAAATATGAAAACAATAAAGTAACTTGAAATTACCTTAACTGATGATTAATGAGATCCTTGAGGCTGATGCTGCGAGACTAATTATTTGAATTCTGGTTAGATTTTCGTAAAGAACAAATGAATATCTCCCGTTTTCTATATATATTTTTTTTCATTTTTTTTTCAATTTTCTTTTTTCATTTTTTAAACTAAATTTTTTCCCTTTTTTCTATTCTATTTTGTGCTGTGTGTGTGTATGGGGTGTAGTGTGTTTGTGTGTGTGTGTGTGTGGGGTGTAGTGTGTTTGTGTGTGTGTGTGAAGGGTGCATAAGGTCTATGTTGTGGGTGGGTGAGATGTGAGAAAATCTATCTTAATGTCTCCCCCTCTCTTCTTCTTACCTTTGACCAGGAAGGGGGGACATAATGGTGCAAGCCCTGATGGTCCAGTGGTGACACGTTCACTGCTACTCTGGCAGCAGGCTAACTCTTCTGTCCTCTCGCTAGCACATCACGTGGCAATACTCCTACCAGCCTACTAGTGGGTGGAACACAGAGCCTCCCGAGTCCTTTCCTCCCTCTGCTGGAACTAAGTGTCAGCAGGCCGGTGAGTGAGATCTTTGATCTCCTCACCAGCCCGAGAGGACTCACAGCAAGGCCTGTGCTGTATAACCCACTGTAACATATTCATCCTCACCTTGCTACATCAATGGTGATTGCCTTGCCAAGAAGCGTGGTAGTGCCGTTCAGCGGCCATGCTTCAATATGTCTGACCCCTGCAGCATGTTAATGGCCGCTGGCCGCTGTGGATATACAACAATTAGTAGCCCCACGTCCACCCACGGCATAGACGACGTCGACGTGACATCACGCAAAAGACACACACGCATGTTCTGGGGTCAAAGGCCGGTTATGGCCAATCGGATCCACAAGAGGGGAATTTAAGCTCATTTATTTCTTCAGCTCATTGCCCTGTCGTGGTTGTCTGAGAGCGTGTTCCTGATAGCTTGTTTCTGGTTATTGACTTTGGCTTCGTTCTGACTTCCCTGGATTCTGATATCCCTGACTTCTGGCTTTCACTCATCTTTGTGTCTCCTTCAGTGTCCCTGACCTCGGCAAGTATTCTGACTATTCTCAGGTATGTTAAGTCTGGCTATTCTAAGGCCCGGTAAGACGTTGCCTATTAGTTCTAGGTGTGACACAATTCTACGTGCTGGATCAACTTGTAATCCTGACACCCACCACCGCCCACCATGAAAGCCTGAATCGCCCACTAGTGGGTGGTAGGGGCCAGGGTTTTAATTGTGAGCAAAATAAAGATCTGAGGGGGATATATTTTAACCCTTAGGCAATTGCATTCTCAGCTATGTTTTCAGTTTTACAATTTTAAATTTACTTTGAATTCACTTTGAAATCCTCACATTTCCCACTTTTTAGTGAATAACCCTGAGTGAATGTTATTGATTAGTGTTTCTGAGCCTAAATGACCATCCTGAATGAGTCAGTACCCACGATGAACTGACAAAGGTGTGTCACACCCTTTCTGAGGAATTATCTCAGAGCATACTACCAAAATACCTGGATAAGACATCCCACACAGGGGTTGGGTTTATCTCATTGTCAGGAGTTTAAAGAGAAGCTGATGATCTGTGAGTGTTGACTTGTTTCCATTTGAATGGTCTTTGTATCACTCTGCACAGACTGTTAGTCAATACACAAGAAGGAAGGCTATTTAGTCATTTATTCTTCACAAGATAATTCCAGGAAATGCAACAAGATCTTAAGAGGGGAAACCTAGTGGTCTCTCTCAAGAGACCCACCTATGGCGTGTGTTTGGTTGGGAATGACACTATATTGGACATCTATAGGTGAGTTCACAGGGTGAAATGATGAATTAGATAATATATAATGGGTAGCTGGGATTTGAGTCCCCAGAAGGAAGGTGTGTATATATATTGGCAACAAAAATATATCAAATCTAACATGTTTCTTTTAATACTTGTGATGCTAAAAGTTTAAATCTATTTATTTTTGTGATGTGTATTCAAATTAAACAATGCTTCCTGTACCTTTAACTGCCATCTCTTAAGCTGACGCTGTGTTGTCTTATTTCATTTCAAGGTTTTGTCTTTTAATGTTTTATCTGAGAATTTACAAGGCTATTCACTCAAGTGAGAATTTTTGGGAATTCAAAGTAAGTTTAAAATAAAAGGCCTAAGCTGTATTGGAAAATTCTCTAAGTCTAATGTTCCCAGTTCAACCACTTTGGCCTTAAATTTGCAATTAACTTTGATTTCCCAATAATTCTCAATCTAATAAAAAAAAACAAAAAAAAAAACATGGGGTTTATGTTTAGCTAAATAGACTAACATATGACCCCCCACACCCTGCGCCCAAATGCCTGCATGCAAGTTATTAAAAAAAGGGCCACCAGTTGTTAAGCCTGCTACACATACAGGGAAAGGGGGCATGCGATTGATTTGTCAGACAGGAAGGAGGGGACTTCACAATTTGTCCATGTATGCATTGTGTACATATGTGTATTGGTTTTTATGGTGATACATGTGTCCACCGTTTAGAATTTGACACAAAATCCCTCAGGGCCCCTCCAGAATTTAGGCACTGCATCTGCTCCTCTTTGTAATATTATGATACAGTAGAATTATTATTTAGTATCGCTTAGCACAGTTAGTTTGCTTGTAAGCAACACATTTAGCATATATATGTTACATTAACCATGTGTATATTAAAAAAAAGAAACTTGTGCTTCTACAAGTTTTACAATTACATGTCTGTTAGTCCACCCATTGTACAGCGCTACGGAATCTGATGGTGCTATATAAATAATAGTCAGCTTTGTATTACACCCGCCACTTATGTGTATGTCACCCAAGTCATGTATGTTATATGTAGCATATATGTTACAGTAGACGTGTATATGATAAAGTAGCCATGCCAGTGTTGGACTAGCCAGTTATGTTTGTAACACTGGCCATGCACACTTGCATATTAGGTGTATTTGTTGTAAAGGGCTTTTGGAGTTGGCAGAAAGTTTAGAATAATATATTGAAGCTGGAGGAAATCTCGTCCTTTGCTGGAGATTTTACTAGTTGATTGTCAGCTATTTGGGTCTACCTATTTAGAAAATAGACCTCTCGTAGTAATGAACAGTGAGGATTAATTCTAATATAGAATGATTGCATTTCATCTGATGCTCAGTCAGACACAATTAAATTCACTACCAGTAAGTACAATTCTACATGTTAAGAGAACAAACCATTTTAAAGGTGGTGTGTGTTTTTTTTTTTTTTGGTTTTAATACGTGCTGTTACTAGGTAGTAGTGTGTAAACTGGAGATTGTGAAATAGTGTGTACAATTACAGGGCTGGCACAGTATTGTGTTACTAAATAAATCCTCACTTCATTATCAATGTATCTGTGATCTTTTAAGCTCACACTAAGCTCTCTGATATTAAACCTTACTCAAAACCGTATTACATTAGAAGACTCGTCCCAAGCCTATGGGGACATTCATTTTAATGTATGGTGGGTGATTCCTATCATTTTTACTGGTGGGTTGAATGCTATTTAACTTTATGTCCCCATGTGTTTTGTGGTAGTGGAAAGAATTTCACAAATCTAAAACGAAGTAACAATCACTGTGGAAGCTAGACACATGCTTTGCAATAATAGATAGTATGCAGTGGCAGAGAGATGTAAATTGTTACAGAATCAGCAATCATTGATGGTGGATACTGGGACACAGGGCAGGGCTGACATCTTTTGGTCTGGGGTCTTTTGTCCACATCATTCATACTCAGACACTTCTGTCTCCTGGGTAATATGGGCAAGTAGAGCCATGGAAAGCATTGAGTTCACAGGTTACAATCCCAACCACAAGCCCACACAGATCTGTGTTAGGAAACACCCTGCAAAATGTATGCCTCCTGCACTGTGCCAACACGCCCCATGTTTATTTAAATCTGTACAGGAAGGCTGTGAGCCTGCAACCCCCAAACCCAGTATGTTAGTGACTGAGGAGGCAATTGCCCTTCTTTCCCCCATACCAGCCCTTCCTGTTGTGATACTGAAATAACAATTTATGGTCTTCTGAATCCGCGTAAGCTACCATGATAGGCTTTGGTAGAATCACTGCCTTAGTTCAAATTTCAGACCAGATTAGCTCATTTAGATTCAGTTATGATTTCATTTTGGACTCTCTGGTCAGAAATATGAAATTTACTTTGAATTCCTAATAATTCACACCTTAGTAAATATTCCTGCATTTATTGAAATATTAACTTATTGCAGGCGCTGTTTAAAGCACACATTGTCTCTCCTATACCCAGCATCTCTGTGCACTCTGATTTCAAGGTCCTAATCCGTGAAGGACCTGGTTACTGAGTAATCGAAATAATAACCCACATGGTCTCCTGATACAGAAATCAAACACGGCAATATCCCAAGCAGGGCCGGATTAAGAGCCCATTGGGCCTGGTGCTGACAATTATGTTGGGCCTAATTACAGAATCCTATCTACAGAAAACAGTAAAAAAAGTCATACCCCCCAAGAGCCATGTATCTGGTGGAGGTGCTGCTGCAGGGAAACTCACAGGATATAGCTATCAGAAAACACATAGTCCATGCTAATGTCTCGCATTCATCTTTCAAGTAATCCATACCCCCTAACAGCAGTGTCTGGTGAAGCAGGATTTCTGTGGGCGGGGTAACAGGATGGGCCACTGATGCGAATCACGTAATAAGAACTGTCCAAAGGGACGAACATGCCCCAAAAGGGGGAGTGTTTGCACGAAGTATTAAATGGTCAGCCTGGCGTGAATGCATGTCAGGCTGACTGCCAATCATTAGATATAGGGTGCTCTGTATGGTTATAAAGGTAGGCGTGAGATCAGAAGGTGAATGTCTAGATACAGAGTGTCCATGTTTAGATATAGGGTGCTCTGTATGGTTATAAAGGTAGGCGTGAGATCAGAAGGTGAATGTCTAGATACAGAGTGTCCATGTTTAGATATAGGGTGCTCTGTATGGTTATAAAGGTAGGCGTGAGATCAGAATGTGAATGTCTAGATACAGAGTGTCCATGTTTAGATATAGGGTGCTCTGTATGGTTATAAAGGTAGGCGTGAGATCAGAAGGTTAATGTCTAGATACAGAGGGTGCATGTTTAGATATAGGGTGCTCTGTATGGTTATAAAGGTAGGCGTGAGATCAGAAGGTGAATGTCTAGATACAGAGTGTCCATGTTTAGATATAGGGTGCTCTGTATGGTTATAAAGGTAGGCGTGAGATCAGAAGGTGAATGTTTAGATACAGAGTATCCATGTTTAGATATAGGGTGCTCTGTAGTTATAAAGGTAGGCGTGAGATGTTTGTCAAGATACAGAGTGTCCATGTTTAGATATAGGGTGCTCTGTATGGTTATAACGGTAGGCGTGAGATCAGAAGGTTAATGTCTAGATACAAAGTGTCCATGTTTAGATATATGGTTAGTTATAACGGTAGGCGTGAGATCAGAAGGTGAATGTCTAGAGAGTGTCCATGTTTAGATATAGGGTGCTCTGTATGGTTATAAAGGTAGGCGTGAGATCAGAAGGTGAATGTCTAGATACAGAGTGTCCATGTTTAGATATAGGGTGCTCTGTATGGTTATAACGGTAGGCGTGAGATCAGAAGGTGAATGTCTAGATACAGAGTGTCCATGTTTAGATATAGGGTGCTCTGTATGGTTTATAACGGTAGGCGTGAGATCAGAAGGTGAATGTCTAGATACAGAGTGTCCATGTTTAGATATAGGGTGCTCTGTATGGTTATAAAGGTAGGCGTGAGATCAGAAGGTTAATGTCTAGATACAGAGGGTGCATGTTTAGATATAGGGTGCTCTGTATGGTTATAAAGGTAGGCGTGAGATCAGAAGGTTAATGTCTAGATACAGAGGGTGCATGTTTAGATATAGGGTGCTCTGCATGATTATAAAGGTAGGCGTGAGATCAGAAGGTTAATGTCTAGATACAGAGTGTCCATGTTTAGATATACGGTGCTCTGCATGATTATAAAGGTAGGCGTGAGATCAGAAGGTTAATGTCTAGATACAGAGTGTCCATGTTTAGATATAGGGTGCTCTGTATGGTTATAAAGGTAGGTGTGAGATCAGAAGGTTAATGTCTAGATATAGAGTGTCCATGTTTAGATATAGGGTGCTCTGTATGGTTATAAAGGTAAGCGTGAGATCAGAAGGTTAATGTCTAGATACAGAGGGTGCATGTTTAGATATAGGGTGCTCTGTATGGTTATAAAGGTAAGCGTGAGATCAGAAGGTTAATGTCTAGATACAGAGTGTCCATGTTTAGATATAGGGTGCTCTGTATGGTTATAAAGGTAGGCGTGAGATCAGAAGGTGAATGTCTAGATACAGAGTGTCCATGTTTAGATATAGGGTGCTCTGTATGGTTATAAAGGTAAGCGTGAGATCAGAAGGTGAATGTCTAGATACAGAGTGTCCATGTTTAGATATAGGGTGCTCTGTATGGTTATAAAGGTAGGCGTGAGATCAGAAGGTTAATGTCTAGATACAGAGTGTCCATGTTTAGATATAGGGTGCTCTGTATGGTTATAAAGGTAGGCGTGAGATCAGAATGTTAATGTCTAGATACAGAGTGTCCATGTTTAGATATACGGTGCTCTGTATGGTTATAAAGGTAGGCGTGAGATCAGAATGTTAATGTCTAGATACAGAGTGTCCATGTTTAGATATACGGTGCTCTGCATGATTATAAAGGTAGGCGTGAGATCAGAAGGTTAATGTCTAGATACAGAGTGTCCATGTTTAGATATACGGTGCTCTGCATGATTATAAAGGTAGGCGTGAGATCAGAAGGTTAATGTCTAGATACAGAGTGTCCATGTTTAGATATAGGGTGCTCTGTATGGTTATAAAGGTAGGTGTGAGATCAGAAGGTTAATGTCTAGATATAGAGTGTCCATGTTTAGATATAGGGTGCTCTGTATGGTTATAAAGGTAGGCTTGAGATCAGAATGTTAATGTCTAGATACAGAGGGTGCATGTTTAGATATAGGGTGCTCTGTATGGTTATAAAGGTAGGCGTGAGATCAGAAGGTGAATGTCTAGATACAGAGGGTGCATGTTTAGATATAGGGTGCTCTGTATGGTTATAAAGGTAAGCGTGAGATCAGAAGGTGAATGTCTAGATACAGAGTGTCCATGTTTAGATATAGGGTGCTCTGCATGGTTATAAAGGTTGAGATCAGAAGGTTAATGTCTAGATGGGCGTGAGATCAGAAGGTTAATGTCTAGATACAGAGTGTCCATGTTTAGATATAGGGTGCTCTGTATGGTTATAAAGGTAGGCGTGAGATCAGAATGTTAATGTCTAGATACAGAGTGTCCATGTTTAGATATAGGGTGCTCTGTATGGTTATAAAGGTAGGCGTGAGATCAGAATGTTAATGTCTAGATACATAGTGTCCATGTTTAGATATACGGTGCTCTGCATGGTTATAAAGGTAGGCGTGAGATCAGAATGTTAATGTCTAGATACAGAGTGTCCATGTTTAGATATAGGGTGCTCTGTATGGTTATAAAGGTAGGCGTGAGATCAGAATGTTAATGTCTAGATACAGAGTGTCCATGTTTAGATATACGGTGCTCTGCATGGTTATAAAGGTAGGCGTGAGATCAGAATGTTAATGTCTAGATACAGAGTGTCCATGTTTAGATATACGGTGCTCTGCATGGTTATAAAGGTAGGCGTGAGATCAGAATGTTAATGTCTAGATACAGAGTGTCCATGTTTAGATATAGGGTGCTCTGTATGGTTATAAAGGTAGGTGTGAGATCAGAAGGTTAATGTCTAGATATAGAGTGTCCATGTTTAGATATAGGGTGCTCTGTATGGTTATAAAGGTAGGCTTGAGATCAGAATGTTAATGTCTAGATACAGAGGGTGCATGTTTAGATATAGGGTGCTCTGTATGGTTATAAAGGTAGGCGTGAGATCAGAAGGTGAATGTCTAGATACAGAGGGTGCATGTTTAGATATAGGGTGCTCTGTATGGTTATAAAGGTAAGCGTGAGATCAGAAGGTGAATGTCTAGATACAGAGTGTCCATGTTTAGATATAGGGTGCTCTGCATGGTTATAAAGGTGGGCGTGAGATCAGAAGGTTAATGTCTAGATACAGAGTGTCCATGTTTAGATATAGGGTGCTCTGTATGGTTATAAAGGTAGGCGTGAGATCAGAATGTTAATGTCTAGATACAGAGTGTCCATGTTTAGATATAGGGTGCTCTGTATGGTTATAAAGGTAGGCGTGAGATCAGAATGTTAATGTCTAGATACATAGTGTCCATGTTTAGATATACGGTGCTCTGCATGGTTATAAAGGTAGGCGTGAGATCAGAATGTTAATGTCTAGATACAGAGTGTCCATGTTTAGATATAGGGTGCTCTGTATGGTTATAAAGGTAGGTGTGAGATCAGAAGGTTAATGTCTAGATATAGAGTGTCCATGTTTAGATATAGGGTGCTCTGTATGGTTATAAAGGTAGGCTTGAGATCAGAATGTTAATGTCTAGATACAGAGGGTGCATGTTTAGATATAGGGTGCTCTGTATGGTTATAAAGGTAGGCTTGAGATCAGAAGGTGAATGTCTAGATACAGAGGGTGCATGTTTAGATATAGGGTGCTCTGTATGGTTATAAAGGTAGGCGTGAGATCAGAAGGTTAATGTCTAGATACAGAGTGTCCATGTTTAGATATAGGGTGCTCTGTATGGTTATAAAGGTAGGCGTGAGATCAGAAGGTGAATGTCTAGATACAGAGTGTCCATGTTTAGATATAGGGTGCTCTGTATGGTTATAAAGGTAAGCGTGAGATCAGAAGGTTAATGTCTAGATATAGTGGGGTGCATTGTATGGTTATATAGGGGTACATGGGCAGACTGTCCGCATTATTGGGTGAATCTCCAAATATGGGGGTGCAGGCTGGTTAACAAGTGTATGGCCCTATATTCAGTGTCACACAGAGTTCAGTAGGCGACTTCAAGACTCTGGGGCCTCCAGCACGCAGCGAGCAGAGCCAGTCCCTCTGAGAAGCAGTTATTCTGGATTGCTCCTGCTCTGTTTGATATTGATATACTGTTTGGTTTTTCTCCTGTTTTGAAAGCAAGCTGTGTCGGGGAGTCTATTCTGCGATCTACAATTCAAAAGTCAGGCTAAGAAAATTAATCATTTAGCTAATAAGCCCCAATGATTGTTACTTGGGTTATCACGCGTATTAATAAATAGTCTAAATATCATCTTTTGCCAGAATTACAGTCATAGATTGAGTCATTCCTTAAATATAAACTACCCAAGTCTTGTCTGTTGAAATGTAACATAGTGACATCCTGGGAGGTTTAGTTGAAAACGTTTGTTTTGAAAGGTGAAAGCTGTGTGCCAGGATATATTGTAATAAGAGCATTGGCCATGCTTTCATTTACAGAGACATCTCACTTCTCCTGCTGAATGTGGCAGTGCGCTATAGTGGTTATGGTGCGAGGAGTGTTCCTTTACGCTACTATCTGTTTCCTTGTTCCTCTTAAGTATGCTTTCTCACGAATTCAAAGTGATTTATTTATTTATTTATTTTTTTGTGGATCATAACAGCTCAACTGGAAAAATTCTAAACATTTTATGTCAACTATGTTTCAGTTTGGCTGTTTTAGCCTCGAATTGGAAATTCACTTTGAATTGCTGACAATTCACCCTTTAGTGGATAACCCTGTGGGCATTAAACCTGTACAACCGGTTCTTTCTTGGCAAACATAGAACGATGTCACTTTATTCACAGTTTACATGAACTAATACAAAAGGTCAAATTGGTCCAACCGCTGGCTCCTTCCGGGAAACCAGAGGAGATGTTTCATTTAATAGGGCTATTCAATAAAGTGAGAATTCAATGTCAAAATAGCCGAACTGGGAAAAGTCAGCTTTGAATAAGCTATAGCTCTGAATAGTCTGTAATATTGTTCTATCAGGTCAGATCTCTCTGCCAAGTCGACATTTCATGATCTGCTGCAGATTTTAATGCGAGTGACTGATTTTCAGGTGTGTGGTCAGGGCTGCCATCAGGGGGTTACAACCTTAACGGTTGTCACTGGCCTGGCGGCCCTGGGGCCGGGCCCCACGTGTAGCAGGGGAACTTCTTCCGGTGCACTTTCACCGGCACCCGCACGCTGATGGGGCCTATCGGGTGACCCGCGCACTTAGGCCACCCGATGGGCCCTATATCTTCAGGGGCCTGGTCATCGCTGTGGCCCCATTAGAAAAAAAAATGCCACCGCAGCACAAGTGCTGCTGGGAGGAAGTGGTCACTTTCTCCCAGCTCGCTCCGCGCGGGAGGAGCGCGCGCCCAGCAGTGAGGGAGAGCCGTGCTGACTCCCATCAGCCCCAGCCACCCTCCTGCAAAGAAAAGGTAAGAAACAGGAGGGTGGCTGGAAAATGCGCTCTGTGTGAATGTATGCATGTCTGTCTGTCTGAATGCCTGTCTGTATGTATGTCATTATGTGTGTATGAATGTCAGTGTATGTATGTCTGCATGTCATTATAAATGTGTGTATGTATGGATGTCAGTGTCTGTATGAATGTCTGTCTGTATGTATATGTATGTCTGTATGCATGTATGTATGTATGCATGTCTGTCTGTATGCATGTATGTATGCCTGTATGTATGTATGTATGTATGTATGTCATTATGTGTGTATGAATGTCAGTGTATGTATGTCTGCATGTCATTATGAATGTGTGTATGTATGGATGTCAGTGTCTGTCTGTATGTATATGTATGTATGTATATGTTTGTCTGTCTGTATGTATATGTATGTATGTATATGTATGTCTGTCTGTATGTATGTCTATGTATGTCTGTATGCATGTCTGTATGCATGTCTGTATGCATGTCTGTATGTATGTCTGTATGTATGCATGTCTGCATGTATGTATGTATGTATGCATGTCTGCATGTATGTATGTATGTCTGTATGTATGCCTGTCTGTATCTATGTATGTATATCATTATGTGTGTATGAATGTCAGTGTATGTATGTCTGCATGTCATTATGAATGTATGCCAGTATGAATGTATGTCTGTGTATGTATGTGTGTATATATGTCAGTGTCTGTATGCCAGTATGAATGTCTGTCTGTCTGTCTGTATGTCCTTATGCATGTGTGTCTGTATGTATGTTAGTATGTGTCTGTCTGTCACTATGTACGCCTGTGTGTCTGTATATGTTTGTATGTCTCAGTATGTGTGTGTCTATATGTGTGTGTGTGTCTATATGTGTATCAGTATGTGTGTCTGTTAGTATGTATCAGTGTGTGTGTGTGTGTGTGTGTGTGTGTGTATATCTGTGTCATTTTGTATCAGTGAATGTATTTGTGTCTATGTGTGTATTCCTGTGGGCGGGATTTGGTGGTGTTTCCTGTGGGCGATTCTGGAGGTGAGCCGCCAGGGGCCCAGACCCTGAGCTCAGTTAGGGGCCCCAAAATTTCTGGTTGGGGCCCTGTGTGTGAGTCACGTCACCTTGTCAGTTATATTCTATACATTTCTATTTTGTTTAAATGCACTTTACATTCTCTCGTTATCGTGTTCTGTTGGATATAATAAACAAGTCCTTATCTTGCTGCTTGGTATCTTATTATCAGAGAGATGCATGTAAGGAATGCTTATGGGAAAGGCGTTAATAGAGATTTATACGCCAATAGTAAGAGATTGGAAACAAGGAGTGTCTACAAATATATAACAGGAGGAAGTATGTTTACACATTGGCACTGGAACAGGAATTCTATGTATCCAGCACTCGTTAAAGAGACCGTGCCATGTATACGGTTTATAAAAAGAAAGGTCTAATTTATTAAAAACTAGATTTAGAGCCATATAGATGTCAGACGTCTTGTCTACCATGCACATTGCTTTAAATAGTGTAAGCCGAGTGAGCAAGATTTCATCAGCAGCACATCTAAGTTTATTTAATTTTAATTTTTTTTTCAGTAAAATGAAAGTTGTGGAGACCAGGGAATTTCAAGCCCCAAATGGTAGGATTTGGATTTCATTATCAGGGTCATTACCGAAAGTGCAAATAGTAATGCGTAATAATCTCTGTCATGAGGTAGATGATATGTGTTGAACTGTTTTACATTAGGACAGTTGTTAAAATAACAATAATAATAATAATCTTTTGCCGTATAAATATACATACAGAATTGTATTTTGCTTAACCCAACAGGTGGGCCCACTGTAAGAGGTTGTACAGTGAATTTTTAAAATAATAACACAATTCCAATTTTTCCTGCATTCTTCATACATTTATACGTGCTCCTTTTACTTTGCATTAATTGTTGCCATGAGTACCATAATAATGTCTTATTAGCAGCTGGCGTTGGGCACAGTCTGCTAAAATGTCTTATTAGCTGCTAGCGGTTGGGCACAGTATGCTAAAATGTCTTACTAGCAGCTGGCGGTTGGGCACAGTAAGCTAAAATGTCTTACTAGCAGCTGGCGGTTGGGCACAGTAAGCTAAAATGTCTTACTAGCAGCTGGCGGTTGGGCACAGTAAGCTAAAATGTCTTATTAGCAGCTGGCGGTGGGCACAGTAAGTCAAAATGTCTTACTAGCAGCTGGCGGTGGGCACAGTAAGTTAAAATGTCTTATTAGCAGCTGGCGGTGGGCACAGTAGGCTAAAATGTCTTACTAGCAGCTGGCAGTGGGCACAGTAAGCTAAAATGTCTTGCTAGCGGTGGGCACAAAATACAATTCTGTATGTATATTTATATGGCAAAAGATTATTATTATTATTATAAGCTAAAATGTCTTACTAGCAGGGCTATTCTCTAAAGTGAGGATTGTCAGGCATTCAAAGTGAATTTCAAATTTAAGGCCATAATAACTAATTGTGGGAAATAAATCCGCTGTGCCTCCTCTTTGGTAACTTGGCCTTCATTTTCAAATTCACCTTGAAATTCAAACCTTCATGAATAATCTAGTTTGTATTCAGTGCTGCTTAGGGTTTATTCAATAATGTGTGAATTGATCAATTTCAATGTAAATGTCAAATGATAATTGAAAATAGCCAAACTGGTTAGACAAAAGTCGACATAAAACTAAAATGGGATTTCCGTGTTTCTTACATTGATCTGAGCCTTGCTGTTTTGATCTGACTACATCAAATTAATAGTAAGTTTGTTAATAATCCCACGAACTACCATAACAAGGAAGGGATGTTATTAAAATATAGGCGGATGTATAATTTGTGGTTTGTGGCTTTCTGGACAGTTAATAGCAGAAGGAGCTTTGCTTTCCCACTTGTTTATTTTATGAGTCTATAAACTGATGACTTAAAGGTAGGCAGACAATGTAATAGAGCAGCAGGAAATGCTAGCAGAATGCTTGGTTGTATAGGGAGAGGTATTAGCAGTAGAAAGAGCATTGTACAGAACACTGGTGAGACCTCACTTAGAGTATTGTACACAGTACTGGAGACCGTATCTTCAGAAGGATATTGATACCTTAGAGAGGGTTCAGAGAAGGGCTACTAAACTGGTTCATGGATTGTAGGATAAAACTTACCAGGAAAGGTTAAAGGAACTTAACATGTATAGCTTGGAGGAAAGACTAGACAGGGGGGATATGATAGAAACATTTAAATATATGAAGGGAATCAACACAGTAAAGGAGGAGACTATATTTAAAAGAAGAAAAACTACCACAACAAGAGGACAGTCTTAAATTAGAGGGGCAAAGGTTTAAAAATAATATCAGGAAGCATTACTTTACTAAGAGGGTAGTGGATGCGTGGAATAGCCTTCCAGTTGAAGTGGTAGAGGTTAACAAAGTAAAGGAGTTTAAGCACGCATGGTATAGGCATAAGGCTATCCTAACTATAAAATAAGGCTAGGGACTAATGAAAGTATTTAGAAAATTGGGCAGACTACATGGGCCGAATGGTTCTTATCTGCCATCACGTTTCTATGTTTCTATGTAACTAATAAATACAAACTATGATTAATTCTGTGAAAAGCAATGGCCAAAAATGAGAGACTGCAATAAACGCATGCGTAGAGTGCACCTTAATAAAGCATTGTATTGCCACTAGCCATAGCAGTGCTTGCATTTTATCAATAGCAAACAGGTATTACTACAGCTGTGGGCAAAGTATTATGGGAAATGTAGTTCTGGTAGTCCCTGGATGGCTACCAATTTGCTGTCAGAGAGGCAGGTAATTCCCATATATGAGACAGATGGACAATGTAGCATTACCTAGATTGCTTTAATGCTGGAAGTGTGGGGCTAGTACAGCAAACCATACAATGTATCCTTGGGGTAAAGCCTCTGGGCTTCCTATCGCCTAGCAATGCCCCTGCTGTGAACTCCATATAACGTACAGTCAGCAATAGCCTCCCACGGGGTAGCGTGCGCCTTTATTAGAAGGCTTTTCATTTCCTATGCATTAAAGATAAATTAGGACATCACACAGGGACGTGATTACCTTCATTGAGAATCCAATCCTTCCTGCCCAGATGCCCCCCACCCTAATTCTTAAATCCTATTGTAAAACATTTACATTAACCCATAGGAGAGAGAGTAACATTTGTGGATTAGGACAAAGCAGTCCTTTAGGTCTTTTTATGTCGTGACACTCTCACACTGAGATACTACCCTACAATACAGAATTGTGAAGAACTGAGACTTGTGAGAGCTTGGCCCAGCAAGCACAACCAGTTTTCAGAGTGCAGTTAGTGTTGAGTAATTGTGAGTTCTCTATGGCAGACAGTATACCTCACCTTGTACATGCAAGGCCATCCCTGGGGCCCTCGGTGGACACACAGGACAGAACATTACTCATATCCCTCTACAAGCGACACTGTGTGAAACCATAATCGGGGAAAGGGAGCAGAGACAGCTTTATGGACTTGGTGCTCATTGTTTTGTGCACCAGAATGCTGGGGGTCAGCTGTTTGTGGGCTTGTTATATTTCATTTTTTACATTTATTCCTAATGAGCAGAGTCTGATAGGTTCAATTTAAATATTGTGCAAAAAAGCCCTACACAAACAGTACCATTTTAAGAGACTTAACTGTGTGCTTGTTTTTTTATTTTGACATTTAAATGTCCCATTTGGTCTTAACATATTTGGCGTTTCATCTTGTGTTAACACCATATACAACATTGAGTTGCCCTATATATAAATGGTTATATGTGTAAAGTGTATATTAAAATAATATTTGCATTTCCAACAGATACCAGTAACTACTGAATGAGTGGTTCTGATGCAGCCATTTAGCTGAGAAAATCTGCTTTATACAGGGACTAGGGTTAATGGGAATTTTGAGAAATGATCAGATATCTGCAGTTGTTGAATTACATGTAAAACCAGCTGTATACAAGATATGGCAGTACGAGTGATTCCATCTACCGCCACACCTGAGTGAACGTGTGCTTTCATTGTGTGGTTTCTGGAATTCGCCTCAAGCAACAATCCGCACGAATCCACAAACAGATTATAAAATGAGTTTATAGGGCAATAAATATTACAAAATAAAGAAAATATTCTAATTAAGCTTAAAACCTTCCTAAAAAAATAAAATAAAATTGAACTGGCAAAAAAAAATACAAACATAACCTGGTAGGGAGAGGAGACATGTAACTAACAAAATGTAAATACACTGCAAACATGAACAACATGAATCGATACATGGCAATAATCACATATATTAATGATCCATACCACTCCTTGTATGGCCACAACCATAGCAACACCTAGATCCTAATGCTTTGGACTACTAAGAAGTAGTCTGTGCTCAGGTTAGCCCATGTAGGCCGTGTTCCTGGTGGCCCATGTAGGCCGTGTTCCTGGTGGCCCATGTAGGCCGTGTTCCTGGTGGCCCATGTAGGCCGTGTTCCTGGTGGCCCATGTAGGCCGTGTTCCTGGTGGCCCATGTAGGTCGTGTTCCTGGTGGCCAATGTAGGCCGTGTTCCTGGTGGCCCATGTAGGTCGTGTTCCTGGTGGCTCATGTAGTCTGAGCCTCTAAGATCCACAAATATCATGCTTCTTTTGACCAAGGTAATCGATGGTTCTAATGGCCCATATAGTTCGAGCTTTAGGTGGCCCATATAGTCAGTGCTTCTGATGGCCTACATGTAGTAGGTAGTCCCAGAAGCCCATACACCTGATGGCCCACGTAGACTGTGCTCCTGAACCATTTTTTTTTACTGAAAACTTAAATAATTTCTGCAATAAAAATGTGTAGTAATTTAATATAGATGCTCGCTGGGTAAACCATGATCATCTTTTTGTTAAACATACACCTAATTTGTTATCAAAGGAAGAAAATCTAAAATGACCAGGTATTTTGAAGGAAGTCACATTTTTTTCTATTACACCTATAACAGTGAGACTTCTATTCTACCAATAACATTTTGCCTAAAATTGTGATATTTATTGTAATGGTGATAATGGCTATATATTGACTGTTTCAGGTCAGTTCCCCCCGGCGCTGACTCGTTCGATATCCGTGGATCGAGTTTAATAGATGTGACCATAATATATAACCCCAGCTGTCTGGACAACCCACAGGCGAAGACAACATGGCCGCTCAACAAGGGTTTGAAAGTTGTACTTTCCTCCACTGAAACAAGCCGCAATCTAAATGACAGCAAGGTGAGTGTGCACTCAAAGACTCCGGCTGTGGTCACCGAGTCTCTGTGCAAAAAGGGTGACAATTCCAGAGACTTTATCAGAACACCTGATGGGAGCAATTAGAAATTGTCATATAGCACATTGATTGAACAAGCCCAGGTGCAGATACAGGGAGGGGAGAACCAAGGCTTCAGATGGCATCATTGATGGGTCCCTAAAGGGTACATCCCAGGATGTTGGACTGGCTGGACAGATTGCTTTGGAAGCGCTTCCATGTCGGTATTTGCCTCTTCTATGAATCTTTTAAGAGATTTTTTTTTTTTATTCTTATTTTTGGGATTAGAGAATCAAATCATGATTTGTTCTTATCCCGTGGATATTTCACTATGAGGAGCGTTCTACACGGAATCAGGCGTCACCGTGGTGCTTAAACAAATGTTGCAGGTTCTCAAAATGAATTCTATTAGTCAGACAGCATCAGGGTGACCGGGCTGTGCGGGAATTGTGAGACTCAGTGTAATATCCGTTTAATTGTATTATTCATTATTATTATGGACAAGCGATGACATATTGATCTATTTAACTATTTCTAGGTGAAAGTTTCATATTATGGACAAAATGGAAAGACTCTTTTGGGCAGCTCCGTGCTGTATTTGACAAGCGTCGGTAAGTACTGTTACCCAGTGTACATACTTGTCTGGCTGGTAGATAGAGATATCATTAAAAGGACACTTTTCAAAACATTTGATCCTAATGAAGGAATCCATTTGGGAATTAGTTGTAAATGAATCCATCTGTCTCCTGTACAAATTATACAAAAAGCCAGTTGTCTAAAGGGCCTAATATTGGGAGTGACCCCCTACCCTATAAAATAATCTAATTTGAAAAAAGCTGGAAATAAAATCACTTTTATGATCCCATCTTTTTTACGTATTCTCCTATTCTACTGACTCCAGCTATTCTAATGTGCTTAATTAGTGCATTTAATAACCATGGGAACAAACTTAAAATCAAATGTGTCCAATGTCCATGTATCATGTATATAATAGTATAAAATTATTTACAAAAATGTCCAATATGATTCTCCCAAAGCATTGTTATTACTGACTAATCCCACGACAACCCAAAACACAATATACCAGATGATGCTCTGTGTAACCAGTACAATTAAGATTCATTTTAAATGCTGCATCACCTCATAATGAATAACATTACCTGCGTGTTCACACTAGTATGGCTGCAATGATATTTAAGACCAAAGTAGCCGAACTGTACGGTTTAGAATTTTTCCAGTTTGGCTACTTTGGTCTTAAATTTGAAAAGCACTTTATATTCCTGATATTTCTCACTTTTAGTGAATAACCCTGAAAATACATTAGAATGGTAGAAGCAGTTTAATAAGATTTCAGATTAGTGTCTGTCTATGTGCATCTGTCTGCTCTATGTATTTCTACTGGTTTGAATTGTGCATTTGTAATTTTTTATTGTGATCTCACATCCTCTGAATTGACATGTTTTGGGGTTTCCAGCTGTCGGCCTGGATGCAGACGTGAATCGAATTGGAGCAGTGACTCTGGGGGAGAAAGACAAGGTATAGAGGCCTGAGATATTTTATTGCTAATACGTATCTGTGTCATTGTAGCTGTGTATGTGTTTTTATTTATATTCTAATTAGATGTAGGATGGAAATGACCTGCATTCTACAATCTGACTTATACGTTTAATGAACCCTTCTTAAGTTTGAAGCTCAGGGTGTACTTTTCTTCTCCTGATTCAATACACTCAGAAATACTGCACATTACTGTGAGATTTATTGCCATGGAGCTCTGTGATACTCATAGACACTGCACATTACTGTGAGATTTATTGCCATGGAGCTCTGTGATACTCATGCACACTGCACATTACTGTGAGATTTATTGCCATGGAGCTCTGTGATACTCATAGACACTGCACATTACTGTGAGATTTATTGCCATGGAGCTCTGTGATACTCATAGACACTGCACATTACTGTGAGATTTATTGCCATGGAGCTCTGTGATACTCATAGACACTGCACATTACTGTGAGATTTATTGCCATGGAGCTCTGTGATACTCATAGACACTGCACATTACTGTGAGATTTATTGCCATGGAGCTCTGTGATACTCGTGCACACTGCACATTACTGTGAGATTTACTGCAATGGAGCTCCGTGATACTCATAGACACTGCACATTACTGTGAAATTTATTGCCATGGAGCTCTGTGAATCACTCATACACATATTACTGTGCGTTTTTTGGTGCTGAACTCTGTGATACACTCATACACACTTCTGTGAGTTTTATTGCTGTAGAGCTCTGTGATGTACTCATACGTACTGCACATTACTGTGTTTTTTGGGGCTAAGAGCTCTGTGACTTATAGTCATACCCCCTGTACATTACTGTGCATTTTATTATTATGGGACTCTGGGGATAAACTTATAGACACTGCACATTACTGTGAGTTTTATTGCTGTGGAGCTCTGTGACACACTCATACACACTGCACATTACTGTGAGTTTTATTGCTGTGGAGCTTTGTGGTTCTCATACACATTGCACATTGCTGTGAGTTTTATTGCTGTGGAGCTCTGTGGTTCTCATACACATTGCACATTAATGTGAGTTTTATTGCTGTGGAGCTCTGTGATACACTCATACGCTGCACATTACTGTGAGTTTTATTGCTGTGGAGCTCTGTGGTTCTCATACACACTGCATAATACTGTGAGTTTTATTGATGTGGATCTCTGTGGTTCTCACACACACTGCACATTACTGTGATTTTATTGCTGTGGAGCGCTGGGGAAACACTTTACATACTGCACATTGCTGTGAGTTTTATTGCTGTGGATCACCGGGGATACACTTTACATACTGCACAATACTGTGAGTTTTATTGATGTGGATCTCTGTGGTTCTCACACACACTGCACATTACTGTGATTTTATTGCTGTGGAGCGCTGGGGAAACACTTTACATACTGCACATTGCTGTGAGTTTTATTGCTGTGGATCACCGGGGATACACTTTACATACTGCACAATACTGTGAACTTTATTGCTGTGGAGCTCTGTGGTTCTCACACAAACTGCACAATACTGTGAGTTTTATTGCTGTGGAGCTCTGGGGATACACTTTACATACTGCACATTGCTGTGAGTTTTATTGCTGTGGAGCTCTGGGGATACACTTTACATACTGCACATTACTGTGATTTTATTGCTGTGGAGCGCTGGGGAAACACTTTACATACTGCACATTGCTGTGAGTTTTATTGCTGTGGATCACCGGGGATACACTTTTCATACTGCACAATACTGTGAGCTTTATTGCTGTGGAGCTCTGTGATTCTCACACACACTGCACAATACTGTGAGTTTTATTGCTGTGGAGCGCTGGGGATACACTTTACATACTGCACATAGCTGTGAGTTTTATTGCTGTGGAGCTCTGGGGATACACTTTACATACTGCACAATACTGTGAGTTTTATTGCTGTGGAGCTCTGGGTATATACTCTACATACTGCACATTGCTGTGAGTTTTATTGCTTTGGAGCTCTGGGGATACACTTTACATACTGCACAATACTGTGAGTTTTATTGCTGTGGAGCTCTGGGGATACACTTTACATACTGCACATTGCTTTGAGTTTTATTGCTGTGGAGCTCTGGGGATACACTTTACATACTGCACAATACTGTGAGTTTTATTGCTGTGGAGCTCTGGGGATACACTTTACATACTGCACATTGCTTTGAGTTTTATTGCTGTGGAGCTCTGGGGATACACTTTACATACTGCACAATACTGTGAGTTTTATTGCTGTGGAGCTCTGGGGATACACTTTACATACTGCACATTGCTTTGAGTTTTATTGCTGTGGAGCTCTGGGGATACACTTTACATACTGCACAATACTGTGAGTTTTATTGCTGTGGAGCTCTGGGGATACACTTTACATACTGCACAATACTGTGAGTTTTATTGCTGTGGAGCGCTGGGGATACACTTTACATACTGCACATTGCTTTGAGTTTTATTGCTGTGGAGCTCTGGGGATACACTTTACATACTGCACAATACTGTGAGTTTTATTGCTTTGGAGCTCTGGGGATACACTTTACATACTGCACAATACTGTGAGTTTTATTGCTGTGGAGCGCTTGGGATACACGTTACATACTGCACAATACTGTGAGTTTTATTGCTGTGGAGCTCTGGGGATACACTTTACATACTGCACACTATGATAGTGTCCAGTTTAAAATATTTTTCTTTTTTTCTTTACATTCAAAATGCATGTAAGAAATAGGTTTACATTCATTTATATTTCAATGTTTCAGGGATCCTGGTCGTGGGGACCTAAAGGGAAAGGTGCAATCCTGCTAGTAAATTGTGACCGTGACAAAGATGCCTATGGTGGCTTGGACTGTCAGGATGACAGCCCCCCAAATTCTGCAGGTAATGGAAACCTGTCTTCAAAATGGAATAATATAACAAGGAATGTGCTCTGTCTGAATACGTCTTTAATGTGATTCATTATTTGTGTGTCTGTCTATCTATCGTGATAATATGAAAGAAAGAAATGATTGCAAAGTCCAAACAAACAGAAAATTACAAATATGTCCACTGTGTGGGTGTACCAACGGGACATTCCAATGCTGACTATAGGGTCCAGTCCTCAGACTTAAGGTTGCAGATTATTTATTTATAAAATATTTTACCAGGATGGATACATTGAGATTTCTCTTGTTTTCAAGTATGTCCACAAAACATTGCATTGTTACAATAGGGCACAAAAATACAATATATACACACATATATACATTTAATACATAACAGGTAATAAATATATTCAACCACTCTGTGCTGAGGTATATTGCCATAGATCTCTTAAAAGATTTTAGATTGAATGACGATCTGACTGTGTCCCTGAGTTTATTCCATAATTATGGTGCTCTGTAGGAAAATGAGGATCGAGCCACTTTATTTTTGTATTGCAGTATGCTAAATATCGTGCTAGTACTGGATCGGAGGTTATAGGAGGTGGGAACAGCCGGGGAGAACATTCTACTCGGGTAGGGTGGGAGCTTAACATGGCAATAAGCATGTGTTGATCTGTTACTCTTCTTCAACCCAGATATTAAAGACATGTCTCCGATGATCTTGACTGCTGAGGCTCCAGAAGAGTTTTTTGATGACCACCAAGTAATTCTCCACATTGCCTCAAGTGATGCCGACAAATTAAGGGTCTATTGCAAATATAGTAAGTATTTGTCATGTGATAACCTACATTTACACAAATGGCTCTACCTAGTATCCGCTTGCCCTGTCCAGTACAAACAGGGGAACCATCGTTTTTTTTTTTTTTTTTAATTACCCCTTTAAATAAAACATTGAAAAATCACCTATATCTCATTCTACACCTTTTTTTTCATGTGATGCTCCATTTTCTAGTAAATGGATGTTAAATATTTAGCAGTTGACAACAATCCAGTTCAGTCCTGGCACAGCTGGGCACACCAGCATTGGAGAAGGAAAAACAGAAACATTGTTTCTATTTCTCCTCCTTTCTCTAAGCCGACAGTCCGATGCAAATGGTGAAGCTTATAACAATGACTGACAAAAAATTCAAAGAACTCCGTTCCAGGATGAAGGTAAATACAATAGTGTGGCTTTCTAATTGTATTTTCGTTTTTATACCTTACAAGCACATATTTATTAAATATAGGAAACAGGTATTCTTAATATTAAAATATATTCCCATTTAAGGGGACACTATAGGCACCCACACAACTTCAGCTCATTGAAGAGGTCTGGGTGCACTGTCGCTTTTACACCTAGTGCTGCAATGTTAAACATTACAAGTCCAGAGAAAGTCTAATGGACTTGTAATGCTCTACTATACAGCCACTAGAGGGCTTCCTGAATCGTAACGGACCTTTGGTCTGGCATCTGCTGCTGGACGTCCTCACGCTCTGCATTAGAAAATCCAGTGCCATATTTTTCCGCATAGGAAAGCATTGATTCAGTCCCTTACTATAGGAAGGCCTAATGCACGCATTAGCACCTGCTCGTCACAGGCCTTCGGAGGGGACGAAAAAGGCACTGGGAAAAGGTTAGTTAAATAAAGGGTTTTTAACCCTGTATTTACTGGGGTGGGGGTGGGGGGTTCACCAGGAAGGGGGAGGCAGAGGGAGCTATAGTATCAGGAATACAGCTTTGTTAAAAGGCGGACTTCTTGGACATACACCCATTATTCCATTATCCACAATAATGATCACATTACTCCTGTTCTTATCTGTTATAGAATCAAAGTACAATCAAGTCTTGGGAGTAAGTAAGCTGTGTTACGAAGTGAAACGATATAGCCAGGACATGATACAATTCTACGTGGAGGGACTGCAGTTCCCAGATGCTGATTTTGATGGGCTCGTTTCTATAAATCTCTCTTTACAGAATAGATCCGATAATGTAAGTGTTGGTTTGTATGTAATATACTACTATAAATATCCTCTGTGTCAGCAGTAATACATTTACAAACATAAACACAAGATATTTAAAGGGACACTGGACGCATTGTAATCTCATTTAAGTGCTTATATTGTCTGCAGTCCCATGGCTCCATCCTTCTGTTCACTATTAAACTGTTTTTAAAATGTTTTAACGCTAGATGAGAGTCCCCAGCAGGTCATGCCCTCTGTGCTGCTTGGACTAATGAGGACGTTTTAGTTTAAGCCGCAATGGGCGGCTGTGATTGGCTGAGTGTATCAGCTGACCTCTTATCACAGCACCTATTGCTGGTCTGAATTGGTAAGGCTACAAGGAAGTGTGAAATTTCTGCCTTAGCCACACCTCCATTGGGGGCCGGGCTGTGGGAAGAAGCAGGGACACTAATGGGGGTGAGTTAGAAGCAGAGACACTAATAGGGGTGAGTTAGAAGCAGGGACACGAATGGGGGTGAGTTAGAAGTAGGGACACGAATGGGGGTGAGTTAAGGGCAGTGACACTAATAAGGGTGAGTAAAGGGAGAGGGACACTTACACTGTTTGGACAGGGGCACATTTCCAGTGCTTGCCATAGGAGATATTTTCAGTAGATATGTGTCTGTCCCCAGCATTGATGGGTTTTGTACCCCCTAATAGTGTACAAATTAATTTTTAAACATGGCAGCTTCAAAGAATTTACAGATATTGGCCCCTAACACCCTACCAGATATTGGCCCCCTTCTGTACGGTACAGCTTTTTATTTCTACTATGTGCGTTTGTTTCATAGGTCTCGTTATTGCCCTCAGTAAGGCATTTCTTTGGTGTCCGGTATTGCCCTCAGTAAGGTATTTCTTTGGTGTCCGGTATTGCCCTCAGTATTTCTTTGGTGTCCGGTATTGCCCTCAGTATTTCTTTGGTGTCCGTTATTGCCCTCAGTAAGGCATTTCTTTGGTGTCCGGTATTGCCCTCAGTAAGGCATTTCTTTGGTGTCCGGTATTGCCCTCAGTAAGGCATTTCTTTGGTGTCCGGTATTGCCCTCAGTAAGGCATTTCTTTGGTGTCCGGTATTGCCCTCAGTAAGGCATTTCTTTGGTGTCCGGTATTGCCCTCAGTAAGGCATTTCTTTGGTGTCCGGTATTGCCCTCAGTAAGGCATTTCTTTGGTGTCCGGTATTGCCCTCAGTAAGGCATTTCTTTGGTGTCCGGTATTGCCCTCAGTAAGGCATTTCTTTGGTGTCCGGTATTGCCCTCAGTAAGGCATTTCTTTGGTGTCCGGTATTGCCCTCAGTAAGGCATTTCTTTGGTGTCCGGTATTGCCCTCAGTAAGGCATTTCTTTGGTGTCCGGTATTGCCCTCAGTAAGGCATTTCTTTGGTGTCCGGTATTGCCCTCAGTAAGGCATTTCTTTGGTGTCCGGTATTGCCCTCAGTAAGGCATTTCTTTGGTGTCCGGTATTGCCCTCAGTAAGGCATTTCTTTGGTGTCCGGTATTGCCCTCAGTAAGGCATTTCTTTGGTGTCCGGTATTGCCCTCAGTAAGGTATTTCTTTGGTGTCCGGTATTGCCCTCAGTAAGGTATTTCTTTGGTGTCCGTTATTGCCCTCAGTAAGGCATTTCTTTGGTGTCCGGTATTGCCCTCAGTAAGGTATTTCTTTGGTGTCCGGTATTGCCCTCAGTAAGGCATTTCTTTGGTGTCCGGTATTGCCCTCAGTAAGGCATTTCTTTGGTGTCCGGTATTGCCCTCAGTAAGGCATTTCTTTGGTGTCCGGTATTGCCCTCAGTAAGGCATTTCTTTGGTGTCCGGTATTGCCCTCAGTAAGGCATTTCTTTGGTGTCCGGTATTGCCCTCAGTAAGGCATTTCTTTGGTGTCCGGTATTGCCCTCAGTAAGGCATTTCTTTGGTGTCCGGTATTGCCCTCAGTAAGGCATTTCTTTGGTGTCCGGTATTGCCCTCAGTAAGGCATTTCTTTGGTGTCCGGTATTGCCCTCAGTAAGGCATTTCTTTGGTGTCCGGTATTGCCCTCAGTAAGGCATTTCTTTGGTGTCCGGTATTGCCCTCAGTAAGGCATTTCTTTGGTGTCCGGTATTGCCCTCAGTAAGGCATTTCTTTGGTGTCCGGTATTGCCCTCAGTAAGGCATTTCTTTGGTGTCCGGTATTGCCCTCAGTAAGGCATTTCTTTGGTGTCCGGTATTGCCCTCAGTAAGGCATTTCTTTGGTGTCCGGTATTGCCCTCAGTAAGGCATTTCTTTGGTGTCCGGTATTGCCCTCAGTAAGGTATTTCTTTGGTGTCCGGTATTGCCCTCAGTAAGGCATTTCTTTGGTGTCCGGTATTGCCCTCAGTAAGGCATTTCTTTGGTGTCCGGTATTGCCCTCAGTAAGGCATTTCTTTGGTGTCCGGTATTGCCCTCAGTAAGGCATTTCTTTGGTGTCCGGTATTGCCCTCAGTAAGGCATTTCTTTGGTGTCCGGTATTGCCCTCAGTAAGGCATTTCTTTGGTGTCCGGTATTGCCCTCAGTAGGCATTTCTTTGGTGTCCGGTATTGCCCTCAGTCTTTGGTGTCCGGTATTGCCCTCAGTAAGGCATTTCTTTGGTGTCCGGTATTGCCCTCAGTAAGGCATTTCTTTGGTGTCCGGTATTGCCCTCAGTAAGGCATTTCTTTGGTGTCCGGTATTGCCCTCAGTAAGGCATTTCTTTGGTGTCCGGTATTGCCCTCAGTAAGGCATTTCTTTGGTGTCCGGTATTGCCCTCAGTAAGGCATTTCTTTGGTGTCCGGTATTGCCCTCAGTAAGGCATTTCTTTGGTGTCCGGTATTGCCCTCAGTAAGGCATTTCTTTGGTGTCCGGTATTGCCCTCAGTAAGGCATTTCTTTGGTGTCCGGTATTGCCCTCAGTAAGGCATTTCTTTGGTGTCCGGTATTGCCCTCAGTAAGGTATTTCTTTGGTGTCCGGTATTGCCCTCAGTAAGGCATTTCTTTGGTGTCCGGTATTGCCCTCAGTAAGGTATTTCTTTGGTGTCCGGTATTGCCCTCAGTAAGGCATTTCTTTGGTATTGCCCTCAGTAAGGTATTTCTTTGGTGTCCGTTATTGCCCTCAGTAAGGCATTTCTTTGGTGTCCGTTATTGCCCTCAGTAAGGTATTTCTTTGGTGTCCGGTATTGCCCTCAGTAAGGTAAGGCATTTCTTTGGTGTCCGGTATTGCCCTCAGTAAGTGGTGTCCGGTATTGCCCTCAGTAAGGCATTTCTTTGGTGTCCGGTATTGCCCTCAGTAAGGCATTTCTTTGGTGTCCGGTATTGCCCTCAGTAAGGCATTTCTTTGGTGTCCGGTATTGCCCTCAGTAAGGCATTTCTTTGGTGTCCGGTATTGCCCTCAGTAAGGCATTTCTTTGGTGTCCGGTATTGCCCTCAGTAAGGCATTTCTTTGGTGTCCGGTATTGCCCTCAGTAAGGTATTTCCTTGATCTCTGGTGTTGGTAGGTCTCAGTATTTCCCTCAATAAGGTATTTCCTTGGTCGCATCCTTGATATATCATGAGTAAGTTTAGTTGGTCTTAATATGGCTCTAGAATCAGTAGCATAAGCAGTCAGGACTTGCAGGTCACAATATTTATACCTCTCAGTAGGAATAAGGAAATAGACATCATTTTAATAACACTCTGCGCATGGAAATATATTTGTTGTCTCTTTCATTTACTTGTACAATATGGAGCTTAGTTTATATTCCAGCTGAATATTGGAGTTTGATTTCAATAACTAAACTACATTTAACAGGAAAGAATGGCTCCTGATCTTTTAATACAAACAGCACTTTTTTTTCAATTTCTTCCCCCATTTAGACTGAGCTGTATAGAGAGAAAATGGTTTTCAGAATGGCACCATGGATAATGACCCCCAACACCCTGAAACCTCTGGAGGTTTATGTTTGCAGGTAAGAGTTTTTCTACCTTCTCATAGCTTGTCCAAAATCCAGCTATTTGTACTTTTTTCTCTGGATTTATTTCCAAGACACCTGCTTCGATTATTCAGGAATTAAAAGAACATTATAATGTTAGGAAAACATACATGTATTCCTAATGCTATAGTATTCGCCTACGTATTTAGGCGCCCCCTCGCCAGTGCGTATTCTTCCATTTACCTCGCAAGTTTCACTGGGGCCACTCTGCATCCCAGGCTGCGATCATCGGCACACTGTGCCAATCCAATGCTCTGTATGAACAGCAATTGCTTGAGAACCAAGTTTGACTCACAGAGAAGCACATCAAGTGGCGATCAGGAAGACAATTGCTAGACGTGCGTTTAACTCTGCAATGGACATCAATGGACCTCAACTGCTAGATGTGCGTTTAACTCTGCAATGGATATCAATGTAGGACATCAATGGACATCAACTGCTAGATGTGCTTTTAACTCTGCAATGGACATCAATGTTTTACATTGCAGGTTAAAACTAAAGGGCCACTGCACTTAGACCACTTTATTGAGATGTAATGGCCTGGGTGCCAATAATGGTTCTTTAAAATGTAATTCCTTCTGGAATATTACTAGGAGAGTTTCAGAATTACCTTGGATGTGGAAAAACCAGGGCATTTTCTTCAGATCTCCAAAAGTTTCCCCAAGAGGAATGGAATGTTACGTTACATTGTTCATTTTTTTGTCATTCTTTATTTTTTCAGTGAAACAAAATAAAGAAAATCACTCAGTATAAACCAAGAGCTATCATGTGGTGCCTCACTAACACCCTATAAACGTATAACAGAAAATAATATACATTTATACCCACAACTAAGTGAAGAAATATATATAAGAAATCTCTGTGAACCAAATAATATAAATTGTATAAATACAACCTCTCAGGATATAGATAATCTAAAAAAAGAAAAAACACAAAATAGTGTAACACAGTTACATAGAAGCGCGGAGGGGTGGGGAGGTAGAGCACTCACAGGTCTCCCCTCAGGGGTATCACTCAAATTTGAAGTCTGGTTTCAATGGTACTTTAGTAATACGATTTCTACAGTACAGCATTCAGACAGGGTTACACAACCTGCATCGCCACATTCCACTATGTTGTCTTCACTTTCACAGGTGTATCCATTTCGGTTAAGGCAATCAACGCACCTGACACCATAAAATAAGCTCCATAAACGTTCCACAAAGGAGAAAATAAACGTGTTTTCTGTGAATGTACTTCCAATTTTTTATTTTTTTTAACTTTTTTTTTTTGGAACATAATTCATTTTGTCAAATCTGATGTTTCTGAAACAAAATAACAGGTGTGATTGAGTTCACATGTGTCTTACAAAACTTTCTTTGTTGACAGTGTGGACGATAACCAAGTGTTCTTGAAACAGATAAAGAAATTGGTGAAAAAAGCGAGATGTAATCTGACCATCTGCGACCAGTTGGAGAATCGAGGAGACCGCTGGATTCAGGTGGGAATATCCAAACAATCGTATCCTATTTCATTATTGGACATTTCATTCTCAAACGACTGAACTAGTAGCATTGAATAAAAAATTTGATGGGAAGAGAATCCATCTTAGTTTGATGAACCTCACATATTATATTGAGGAGGTTTCAATTAAATGAACAAGATGCCAAGTTGATAAACGCAACTATTATCCTACTATTGAATTCTGTGAATTGGATTTACCAAAAGCAGATGGTTTTATATGTTTTGTTGAATGGATTGTGCTATGAATTACTGATACACAATAGACTAGCGACTTGCTGTAACAAGCAGGGTTTTTTTTTTGCTGACTTTTCCTGTACTCCGTAGGATGAAATGGAGTTTGGATACACAGAAGCTCCGCACAAGCGATTTGCAGTGGTCTTTGACTCTCCGCGGAATAGACAACTCAAGTATTTCCCATTTAAAGAAATTCTGGTATGTATAAAGTATGTAAAATATTCATTAAAGAGTAACTGTCACTTTCCAGGATTTTATATATTTTACAACTTTTGTTACAAAGTCTATAAACATTCTTTGGGCTCATATTAAATATAGGTGGGAATCTTGGAAGTTCACAATGTTTTAAAAGCAGAAACCCTGATATTTAAAGGGAAACTATACGGCTAGGAAAACAACCCCATATAGCTTCCCCCTCCGGCAAGCGTCCTTCCCCATGTCCCTCAGCGCTGGCTCAGGCCCACCTTCTGTCCTCCGCTGCCGACGTCAGCTGGTGGGGGAGACCTAATGCTCATGCGCAGCAATGGCCGCGCTCGCATTTGGATTTCCCCATAGGAAAGCATTATTCAATGTTCAATTATTCATTATTCAATGCTTTCTGATGGGGTTTTGGGTGATGCTGCTGGACGTCCCCATACATAGCGTTAGGACGCCCAGCGTCAATTAGGAAACCAAAAATCTACTAGGGGACATCTACCAGACAGCCACTAGAGGTGGAGTTAACCCTAGCAGATAATTATTGCAGTAGAAATTACCTGCACAGGGTTAAGGGACCTGGGACACTGCACCCAGACCACTTCAATGAACTGAAGTTGTCTAGGCGCCTATAGTCTTCCTTTAAGTCCACCGTAGACCTAAATATCCCCTAATTAATTAAACTTAAAGGGCCACTAAAGTTACTTAGACCACTTAATCTCAACGGTGTATCTCAATGAAGTGGTTTGGGTGCAGTGGTCCGGTCTTTTTAATCCTGCAATCTCTACCTCCTCCACAAATCAAAACGCTGCTCATAGCTGTATTTGTTTGGAGGAGCTCAGAGTTTTGCCATGGATCCGTATCTCCATTAAAATGTTTCTCTATGAGAAGCAATAGATTGGAGGAGATTGTGGAAGACGTTAACAGGCATGTGGCTGAAGCAAAGGAGTCTTGGAGCTGGAAACAAGGTAGGTAATCATCCTTTAACTCAATTTTTAAAATAACAAAGGTGGAATCGCAGGAGGGCAGTATGACCCACATATGGTGGGAATGCACCGTGATAAAACCCCTATGGAAGCATACACAGCAAATACTACACCAGGCTCTGGATTACACATCTCCTATTGCACCAAAACTAGCACTATTATTGATCTTCCCAATAAAAAACATTAAAAAAATAGCCTCTCTGGTTATCTTAGCAGCACTGAACTTACTAGCCCAATGCTGGAAAAGCACTAAATGCCCCTCGCGTAAAGAATTACTAAACAAAATACAGCAATACTATAAATATGAGATACTCTCTGCAGATTCATACGCATAAAGGAGAGAAGTAGAACAAATATGGACACCATGGCTTAATATGGTAGATAGTAAACCTAGACCCACGAGTTAAAAACCCTACACCAATCCACTCCAAGGCCACGACTACACCATATCCCCACTCGAAAAGTATAACTTGGATAGCATAGAGAATTAGGATAATAGACTGCCAACTAAAATAAGATACAGGTGGAGGATGGAGATAGCCTACTTGTTCACCAACCCTACTCAACGCTTACATGATTCATTGGACTTTTTGACACTTCGATACATTTTGACATTTTGTTATATTTTGATATATTGTGATATAAGTAAACAGATGTGTCACTTACTTCTCTCCTTCTGCGAAAGGAACATGATATTGGCTTGTCGCCTCCCATGCTCCCCCACCCTTTCCATACCCCTCCCTCTCTTTGTTCTGTACCCATTTTTTACCTTTTACTTTTTGAAAATAAAAATTGCAAATTTGAAAAAAAAATAACAAAGGTGGGTGGACAGAAGAGAATCTATAGTCCAGAAAAAAAATTCTTTTCGGAACTATAGGTTCCCTTTAAGTCCCTCTAATGCTACCTCTTCATTAAATCTCCACAAACCCCAAACCTAGATTAGTGTGTTCTTTTTATTGTAAATCTTTGGGCTCCATTTTAATGACGCAGCTTCGTTATTGCACAATGCTGTCTGCCATGGACCGTAACACATTGTTTGATTTCTGAGGGTAGTTACATGGTATAACTAATGGTGGAGGTTGGGAGGTTCCCTGATTCAAATATCTGTTGCTTATCTACTTTTTACACACTCTTGCAGGGACCTGATTTTGGCTATGTGACCAAAGAACCAGAGGACGAAGAAGAAATAAACAGCCTGGACTCTTTTGGGAATTTGGAAGTAAGTCCACCAGTGATTGTCAAAGGGAAGTCCTATCCTCTGGGAAGGATCCTGATTGGAAGTGACCTGCCAGAGTAAGTCTACAATTTTGCAGAGAAATACATAGTGTTTGGTTTTTGTTTGCTTGCTTTTTTTTGTTAAAGTTAAAAAGTGAGGGACAGACGAGATTGAGGATTTAGGTAGAAGGTGAGGTAATAGCAAATAGATGATGTTCATGATTTAGGCATAAGGTTAAGTCAGGGCAGGCAGATGATGTTCAGGATCGTATGCATACAACAGGCTGTAGTGTTTATGGTGCATAGAGTGCCCCGTAAGCTCAGATCTAGTAATATGTCAAAGTCATGGCAGACAAGTGAGTTTTAGGATCTCGTTCTAAGCCCAGATGTGGAAGATGGATGAGGTTTAGGATCTAGGTATAAGCCCAGATGTGGGAGATGGATGGGGTTTAGGATCTAGGTATAAGCCCAGATGTGGGAGATGGATTAGTTAAGGAACTAGGTATAAGCCCAGATGTGGGAGATGGATGAGGTTTAGGATCTAGGTATAAGCCCAGATGTGGGAGATGGATGAGGTTTAGGATCTAGGTATAAGCCCAGATGTGGGAGATGGATTAGTTTAGGATCTAGGTATAAGCCCAGATGTGGGAGATGGATTAGTTTAGGAACTAGGTATAAACCCAGATGTGGGAGGTGGATGAGGTTTAGGATCTAGGTATAAGCCCAGATGTGGGAGATGGATTAGTTTAGGATCTAGGTATAAGCCCAGATGTGGGAGATGGATGAGGTTTAGGATCTAGGTATAAGCCCAGATGTGGGAGATGGATGGGGTTTAGGATCTAGGTATAAGCCTAGATGTGGGAGATGGATTAGTTTAGGAACTAGGTATAAGCCCAGATGTGGGAGATGGATGGGGTTTAGGATCTAGGTATAAGCCCAGATGTAGGAGATGGATTAGTTTAGGATCTAGGTATAAGCCCAGATGTGGGAGATGGATGGGGTTTAGGATCTAGGTATAAGCCCAGATGTGGGAGATGGATTAGTTTAGGATCTAGGTATAAGCCCAGATGTGAGAGATGGATGAGGTTTAGGATCTAGGTATAAGCCCAGATGTGGGAGATGGATTAGTTTAGGATCTAGGTATAAGCCCAGATGTGGGAGGTGGATGAGGTTTAGGATCTAGGTATAAGCCCAGATGTGGGAGATGGATGAGGTTTAGGATCTAGGTATAAGCCCAGATGTGAGAGATGGATGGGGTTTAGGATCTAGGTATAAGCCCAGATGTGGGAGATGGATTAGTTTAGGAACTATGTATAAACCCAGATGTGGGAGATGGATTAGTTTAGGAACTAGGTATAAGCCCAGATGTGGGAGATGGATTAGTTTAGGATCTAGGTATAAGCCCAGATGTGGGAGATGGATTAGTTTAGGATCTAGGTATAAGCCCAGATGTTTGAGATGGATGAGGTTTAGGATCTAGGTATAAGCCTAGATGTGGGAGATGGATTAGTTTAGGAACTAGGTATAAGCCCAGATGTGGGAGATGGATTAGTTTAGGAACTAGGTATAAGCCCAGATGTGAGAGATGGATGAGGTTTAGGAACTAGGTATAAGCCCAGATGTTTGAGATGGATGAGGTTTAGGATCTATGTATAAGCCCAGATGTGGGAGATGGATTAGTTTAGGAACTAGGTGTGGTGACATTCTGTCATCAAACTAATATGGTGACCAGTGATCATGTGACCAAGCTCTTACAGTGGGATAAGCTTTACCCTTTTGAAATGTTAATTGGTAATTCAATACCTTTACTAGTCAGGAAAGAGATAACCACTTCCCCCTATCCCCATTCCTCTCTGTTCCTTCTTGGCTGTGCTACTGAGCAGTCCTTTAAGCAGACATGGCCTAATTTCCATCATGGTGAACTGTGAGTGGGATTTTATAAGATGTAGTTGTTATTGTTAGTTAGGTTGTTGTTGCTGTTGTTGGTGGTATAGTTAGTTAGATTGTGTGTCATTATTTGTATGTTGTTGTTGTTTTGTCTCTGAATAAATATTTGTTAAAGTAGACGGACCAGAGTTTATATGTGTATGCGTACATAATAATTTATAGAATTTGGTAATACACCACATTTGGCGACCACGAATTTTAGACTTCTACAACAAATGTTTGTGAGGCGCAATAACTACCATATTGATACATAATCTAAGAGAAAGAGACTATATAGCATAGGATTCATTTTGTTGAAACAAATATACACATTTGTTTTGTTGACTGTTTTGAATTTGTGTATTGTGACTGACAGACCATATTTTGATGCAAATTGTAGCATTTATAGGTTTAACTTTGTTTCTGTACAGTTTTAAAGTATTGGTGATAAAAGGGGAAAATTGAATAGCATTGGAACCTTTGATGTTTTGGCCATTTTTAATTGCCCATGCGCTGTATTGTCTCTCTTGTTGCAACTAACTAGAATGAAACTTAATCTATTTTAATTGTTTTCTTAGGTGTTAAATTGTGGGGCTTCACTGCATTCTAAGTTAAAATAGCAAACGTTTTTTGTTGTTATCTTTTGTCTGTTTGAATCATTGAATTCAGGATAGGAGCATAATGTTTGTGCATTATGACTGACAGAACGTATTTTGTTGCAAATTGTAGCATTTATAGTTTAATTTTGTTTATACACAGTTTTAAAGTATTGGTGATTAAAGGGGAAGATTGAATAGTTGCACTGCATTGGTACTATTGATGTTTCGGCCATTTTTAATAGCCCATGTGCTGTATTGTCTCTCTCCTGTTGCATCTAACTAGAACTAAACTGAATATATTGTAATTGTTTTTAGATGTTACATTTTGTACATTTTGTGGCTTCCCTGCATTCTAAGTTTAAATAGCAAACTGTTTTTTTGGTGGGTTATCTTTTGTCTGTTTGAACCATTGAATTCTGGGTAGGAGCATTGTGTTTACATGATAAAGGTATTGGGGCTAATACAGTGTGGTGGCTATTGTTTAGCCAGGCTAAAATTTAAATTTTTACACTGTGTGTTTAATAGAGAATGAACAGTTTGTATTTGAGGTAAAGGTGACTATGTTAGATTGTTATATGGTTGGGAATTATCATTGTGCTGAAGTTACAGTCAGGTATTTTCCAGTTCCCATACCTTCCTTTAAATCATTCTGTTTATCTGTAAACCCCCCACACTGCACTTAAACAAAGGCAAAAGGGTGGTTTTGTGTTTTGCTGCCTGTGGGCATTTGTTGTATTGAGACTGTGAAGTTTTTTTTTCTTAAAAGACAAGAGTTTGTTTGAATAGGTTAATGTAATTAAGTTTCTCAAATGGTTCAATCTCTTTGGAGCCAGTTTCAGTTTTTTTAAATTAATCCCATTGTTAAAAGCGTGTTGTTTTTTTTCCTTAGTCTGCTGGTCTATTTTGATTAAAGACCTAGGGAGAGCTCGGTTTTAAAATGTCATATCTAGGTACTAAGTATTTTTCTGCAGAAGTACTAGAGTACTTTAAGAATGACATTGACAAACATGATGGACCATATGAGCTTCCAGAACCAGCAGGCCCCAATTGTGGAAAATATGAAGGTTTCATGGATGTTTTGACACAGATTGTTACTAATAAAAAGTGCCATATTAAGAAAAGGAAAAGCTTGGTGGCACAAGCGGTTGTTGCTGCAATAGGGGGTTTGGCAAGCATGGTACTCGAATTGCAGCAAGCTAATTTAGTAACCACTAATAAAATGGAAGATGCTCTTGATGAAAGAGATTGTTTTAAAATAGCTGCCCTAAGAACAAACAAAATGACCGAGGGGTTGGAGAAAGAATTAAAGGAAATAGAACAACAGAGAGATGCATATAGTGCTAAGATCACTGAACTCCAAAACCTTGTCATGGAATATAAAATAAAAACTAAAGAAAACATAAATAAATGGGATAAGGAGATTCCTAAAGAATACCCAGGCCAGTCTCATTTTATATCTAAAAGTACAGAACCAGTGCTCAGAACCAAACACAAGGGAAATGCGCCAGTTGTTAACTGTGTCCCACAAGCCCCTTTAATAATAACTGAACATTTTAATGTAAGAGAAATGCCTACTAGCTTCTCTAGACAGACACGCACTATGTCAATCACAGACAAAGACAATTTCCAGAAATGGTGGGGAAGTATGCCAAATAACAACTTTAATACTTTTACACACTGGTTTATGAGGGGAGCAAATAGAGCTAAAAAAGGAGGTTTTAACTTAGAGGAATGGACAGAACTTTTAGAATATGCTATGGGTCCTTTGGCTAGTAGACTATTGGGTTTCAATAACAGTGTGTCTGATCAGGCAGGAAGAATTGCTGAAACTAATTTCTATATACTCAGCATAGAGAAAGAAATAGCGAATATTACGATGAGGCCAGCAGATGGTCCTAGAGAGGTAGCTCAAAGGATATTGTTCTGGTATACACTACGCCAACCTCAACAGCCCCTGGTGTTGGGCTCACCAGAACACATTGCTAAAGTAATGGAAGCCCTTCCCTGGGAGTGTCAAGAATTTGTCAGGCTTTTTGATCCAACACCAGTAGACTTAGAAATGCTACTAACTAGAGCTGATAATTGGTGGCTTAAGCATCCTTCCTCAGAACAGGCCTTATCTGTTTCAGCCATAAGAACATTCAAGGTTGACTCTGGTAGAGATTTAGATGGCAAATGGAGAAGCCAAAGGTGGGATGTACCTCAGAACAAGAGGGATAATGAGAACTGGAGACCAAAACAGGACTTTGACAAAAGATGGAGAGATCCACAGAGGGACCATAGGAATAGGGACAGTTCTAAAGGAAGTAATGTAATGGGAGATAATTGGAAAAATAGATGGGAGGAGCCTAAGGTAATCAATAATAATTGGAATAATAATAATAACACCTGGGAGAAGCTAAAAAGGAGAGATAACTGGGAAAATCACAGATGGCAAGAAAAACAGAGAAACAACAGGAACAGTTATTGGGAGAATAATTGGAAAAGGAACCATAGATGGGATGATCAGACCAATAGACGGAATTGGGATAATTGGAGGAATAAAGAAGGGAATAGAGACTACTGGGACCTAAAGAGACAGACTGAGAGATTGGAGGCAGACGTGAAAGCGCTTAGGGAACAGATGAGAGAGGGAAATACTGATCAATTGGGGGTCCCCAGCAATGAATAACTCCCATAATTTTTGTTGTCCTCTACATCTGTATGTATGTTTGTTTTTTCTTTGTCATTAAGAATATAGGGAAATTAGATTGCTTTGAGTGAAGATGGCATAAATAATAAAGTGAAAATGTATGCTATTTGTTCTATTTGGCTATCCGCAGGGGGTTAAATAGTTATGGGTATGAGAATTTGCACCTACGTTCAATTGCGAATACATTTTTCACCCTTAGATCTTTCCCACTCACGTTCATGTATAATAATTTACGGTTTAAACTATGTACATTTTGTGATTATTGCATGTATTCATCAGTAAATTATAAAATAACTAATATGGTTTTGTGTTCAACTCACCATCAGGTGTGGAGTAAATGTCTAAATTAATCAAAATTTCAGGAGACATTTGTGGGTCTTTTAAATACCTCTAAAATGTAAACATAGCCTTAAGACACCACAACCAAATAGATTTTATTAGACAAAACTAGTTAAGCCTTTGACACAAGACAATATGCTGATTACTGTTGTACATAGTTCATTGTCTGTGTTTGATTCAAAGAACATTTTAATTGGAAGGCCCAGAGAGGCGAAGGTAACTGACATGTCCTGTCACAGTTTACTATACAGATGAAGAAGTGCTGGGATTACCAAGACAAACTATTATCCTGAAAATGATTACTATTCAGATGAAGAGGTGCTGGGATTACACGTCAAACTATTATCCCGAAAATGGATACTATACAGATGAAGAAGTGCTGAGATTACCAAGTCAAACTATTAACACAGCCCAGAATGAGGGTAAAGTAACAGCAGGAAGCAGGAATTTGTGTCATTTCAAGGTGGTCACAGAAAGAGTTTACCCTACACACATGAACTTGCATGTGTCATTAAACCTACAAACCTCAAGCTTTTTAATGGATTGGCAAAGACAATATTCAAGGAGAGTTCATTCTAAAATCACAGCTATCAAGCACACAGATCAGTCACAGTCTTCAGATTCCAGTCCCAGGCGAAATTAAACATCATATTGTGTCATAAACTAGTGATAATTACTGTATGGGGTTGATTGCGTCTAGATATTACTACTTCACATGAACACATTACCATATAATATTAATGAACAACTACCAGGGTTCTTACCAACCCACTTGGGCAGTGGTTAATTTAAAAATGGAACAACTGAAAACAATTGAAATTGGGGGAATGTGGGGTGATGCAACCCCTGTTTGACTATATTCTCTCACTTTTAAATGTGCTCAACATAAGAGAAAAAAAAGTGAGGGAATGTGGTGACATTCTGTCATCAAACTAATATGGTGACCAGTGATCATGTGACCAAGCTCTTACAGTGGGATAAGCTTTACCCTTTTGAAATGTTAATTGGTAATTCAATACCTTTACTAGTCAGGAAAGAGATAACCACTTCCCCCTATCCCCATTCCTCTCTGTTCCTTCTTGGCTGTGCTACTGAGCAGTCCTTTAAGCAGACATGGCCTAATTTCCATCATGGTGAACTGTGAGTGGGATTTTATAAGATGTAGTTGTTATTGTTAGTTAGGTTGTTGTTGCTGTTGTTGGTGGTATAGTTAGTTAGATTGTGTGTCATTATTTGTATGTTGTTGTTTTGTCTCTGAATAAATATTTGTTAAAGTAGACGGACCAGAGTTTATATGTGTATGCGTACATAATAATTTATAGAATTTGGTAATACACCACACTAGGTATAAGCCCAGATGTGGGAGATGGATTAGTTTAGGAACTAGGTATAAGCCCAGATGTGGGAGATGGATTAGTTTAGGAACTAGGTATAAGCCCAGATGTGGGAGATGGATTAGTTTAGGATCTAGGTATAAGCCCAGATGTGGGAGATGGATGAGGTTTAGGATCTATGTATAAGCCCAGATGTGGGAGATGGATTAGTTTAGGAACTAGGTATAAGCCCAGATGTGGGAGATGGATTAGTTTAGGAACTAGGTATAAGCCCAGATGTGGGAGGTGGATGAGGTTTAGGATCTATGTATAAGCCCAGATGTGGGAGATGGATTAGTTTAGGAACTAGGTATATGCCCAGATGTGAGAGATGGATGAGGTTTAGGAACTAGGTATAAGCCCAGATGTGGGAGATGGATTAGTTTAGGAACTAGGTATAAGCCCAGATGTGGGAGATGGATTAGTTTAGGATCTAGGTATAAGCCCAGATGTAGGAGATGGATTAGTTTAGGAACTAGGTATAAGCCCAGATGTGGGAGATGGATTAGTTTAGGAACAGGGTATAAGCCCAGATGTGGGAGATGGATTAGTTTAGGATCTAGGTATAAGCCCAGATGTGGGAGATGGATGAGGTTTAGGATCTATGTATAAGCCCAGATGTGGGAGATGGATTAGTTTAGGAACTAGGTATAAGCCCAGATGTGGGAGATGGATTAGTTTAGGAACTAGGTATAAGCCCAGATGTGGGAGATGGATTAGTTTAGGAACTAGGTATAAGCCCAGATGTGGGAGATGGATTAGTTTAGGAACTAGGTATAAGCCCAGATGTGGGAGATGGATTAGTTTAGGACTAGGTATAAGCCCAGATGTGGGAGATGGATTAGTTTAGGAACTAGGTATAAGCCCAGATGTGGGAGATGGATTAGTTTAGGATCTAGGTATAAGCCCAGATGTGGGAGATGGATTAGTTTAGGAACTAGGTATAAACCCAGATGTGGGAGGTGGATGAGGTTTAGGATCTAGGTATAAGCCCAGATGTGGGAGATGGATTAGTTTAGGATCTAGGTATAAGCCCAGATGTGGGAGATGGATGAGGTTTAGGATCTAGGTATAAGCCCAGATGTGGGAGATGGATGGGGTTTAGGATCTAGGTATAAGCCTAGATGTGGGAGATGGATTAGTTTAGGAACTAGGTATAAGCCCAGATGTGGGAGATGGATGGGGTTTAGGATCTAGGTATAAGCCCAGATGTAGGAGATGGATTAGTTTAGGATCTAGGTATAAGCCCAGATGTGGGAGATGGATGGGGTTTAGGATCTAGGTATAAGCCCAGATGTGGGAGATGGATTAGTTTAGGATCTAGGTATAAGCCCAGATGTGAGAGATGGATGAGGTTTAGGATCTAGGTATAAGCCCAGATGTGGGAGATGGATTAGTTTAGGATCTAGGTATAAGCCCAGATGTGGGAGGTGGATGAGGTTTAGGATCTAGGTATAAGCCCAGATGTGGGAGATGGATGAGGTTTAGGATCTAGGTATAAGCCCAGATGTGAGAGATGGATGGGGTTTAGGATCTAGGTATAAGCCCAGATGTGGGAGATGGATTAGTTTAGGAACTATGTATAAACCCAGATGTGGGAGATGGATTAGTTTAGGAACTAGGTATAAGCCCAGATGTGGGAGATGGATTAGTTGTTTAGGAGCAGGTATAAAGCCCAGATGGCAGGAGATGGATGAGGTTTAGGATCTAGGTATAAGCCAGATGTGGGAATGGGTCCCAGTTTAGGATCTAGGTATAAGCCCAGATGTGGGGAGATGGTTAGGGTTTTGGGATCTAGGTACTGGCAGATGTGGGAATGGTTAGTTTGGGATCTAGGTATAAGCCCAGATGTGGGAGTTGGATTAGTTTAGGATCTAGGTATAAGCCCAGATGTGGGAGATGGATTAGTTTAGGAACTAGGTATAAGCCCAGATGTGGGAGATGGATTAGTTTAGGAACTAGGTATAAGCCCAGATGTGGGAGGTGGATGAGGTTTAGGATCTATGTATAAGCCCAGATGTGGGAGATGGATTAGTTTAGGAACTAGGTATAAGCCCAGATGTGAGAGATGGATGAGGTTTAGGAACTAGGTATAAGCCCAGATGTGGGAGATGGATTAGTTTAGGAACTAGGTATAAGCCCAGATGTGGGAGATGGATTAGTTTAGGATCTAGGTATAAGCCCAGATGTGGGAGATGGATGAGGTTTAGGATCTATGTATAAGCCCAGATGTGGGAGATGGATTAGTTTAGGAACTAGGTATAAGCCCAGATGTGGGAGATGGATTAGTTTAGGATCTAGGTATAAGCCCAGATGTGGGAGGTGGATGAGGTTTAGGATCTATGTATAAGCCCAGATGTGGGAGATGGATTAGTTTAGGAACTAGGTATAAGCCCAGATGTGGGAGATGGATGGGGTTTAGGATCTAGGTATAAACCCAGATGTGGGAGGTGGATGAGGTTTAGGATCTATGTATAAGCCCAGATGTGGGAGATGGATTAGTTTAGGAACTAGGTATAAGCCCAGATGTGAGAGATGGATGAGGTTTAGGAACTAGGTATAAGCCCAGATGTGGGAGATGGATTAGTTTAGGAACTAGGTATAAGCCCAGATGTGGGAGATGGATTAGTTTAGGAACTAGGTATAAGCCCAGATGTGGGAGATGGATTAGTTTAGGATCTAGGTATAAGCCCAGATGTGGGAGATGGATTAGTTTAGGAACTAGGTATAAGCCCAGATGTGGGAGATGGATTAGTTTAGGATCTAGGTATAAGCCCAGATGTGGGAGGTGGATGAGGTTTAGGATCTATGTATAAGCCCAGATGTGGGAGATGGATTAGTTTAGGAACTAGGTATATGCCCAGATGTGAGAGATGGATGAGGTTTAGGAACTAGGTATAAGCCCAGATGTGGGAGATGGATTAGTTTAGGAACTAGGTATAAGCCCAGATGTGGGAGATGGATTAGTTTAGGAACTAGGTATAAGCCCAGATGTGGGAGATGGATTAGTTTAGGATCTAGGTATAAGCCCAGATGTGGGAGATGGATGGGGTTTAGGATCTATGTATAAGCCCAGATGTGGGAGATGGATTAGTTTAGGAACTAGGTATAAGCCCAGATGTGGGAGATGGATTAGTTTAGGAACTAGGTATAAGCCCAGATGTGGGAGATGGATTAGTTTAGGATCTAGGTATAAGCCCAGATGTGGGAGATGGATTAGTTTAGGAACTAGGTATAAGCCCAGATGTGGGAGATGGATTAGTTTAGGATCTAGGTATAAGCCCAGATGTGGGAGATGGATTAGTTTAGGATCTAGGTATAAGCCCAGATGTGGGAGATGGATGAGGTTTAGGATCTAGGTATAAGCCCAGATGTGGGAGATGGATTAGTTTAGGATCTAGGTATAAGCCCAGATGTGGGAGATGGATGAGGTTTAGGATCTAGGTATAAGCCCAGATGTGGGAGATGGATGGGGTTTAGGATCTAGGTATAAGCCTAGATGTGGGAGATGGATGAGGTTTAGGATCTATGTATAAGCCCAGATGTGGGAGATGGATTAGTTTAGGAACTAGGTATAAGCCCAGATGTGGGAGATGGATTAGTTTAGGATCTAGGTATAAGCCCAGATGTGGGAGATGGATTAGTTTAGGATCTAGGTATAAGCCCAGATGTTTGAGATGGATGAGGTTTAGGATCTAGGTATAAGCCTAGATGTGGGAGATGGATTAGTTTAGGAACTAGGTATAAGCCCAGATGTGGGAGATGGATTAGTTTAGGAACTAGGTATAAGCCCAGATGTGAGAGATGGATGAGGTTTAGGAACTAGGTATAAGCCCAGATGTGGGAGATGGATTAGTTTAGGAACTAGGTATATGCCCAGATGTGAGAGATGGATGAGGTTTAGGAACTAGGTATAAGCCCAGATGTGGGAGATGGATTAGTTTAGGAACTAGGTATAAGCCCAGATGTGGGAGATGGATTAGTTTAGGAACTAGGTATAAGCCCAGATGTGGGAGATGGATTAGTTTAGGAACTAGGTATAAGCCCAGATGTGGGAGATGGATGGGGTTTAGGATCTATGTATAAGCCCAGATGTGGGAGATGGATTAGTTTAGGAACTAGGTATAAGCCCAGATGTGGGAGATGGATTAGTTTAGGAACTAGGTATAAGCCCAGATGTGGGAGATGGATTAGTTTAGGATCTAGGTATAAGCCCAGATGTAGGAGATGGATTAGTTTAGGAACTAGGTATAAGCCCAGATGTGGGAGATGGATTAGTTTAGGATCTAGGTATAAGCCCAGATGTGGGAGATGGATTAGTTTAGGATCTAGGTATAAGCCCAGATGTGGGAGATGGATGAGGTTTAGGATCTAGGTATAAGCCCAGATGTGGGAGATGGATTAGTTTAGGATCTAGGTATAAGCCCAGATGTGGGAGATGGATGAGGTTTAGGATCTAGGTATAAGCCCAGATGTGGGAGATGGATGGGGTTTAGGATCTAGGTTTAAGCCTAGATGTGGGAGATGGATGAGGTTTAGGATCTATGTATAAGCCCAGATGTGGGAGATGGATTAGTTTAGGAACTAGGTATAAGCCCAGATGTGGGAGATGGATTAGTTTAGGAACTAGGTATAAGCCCAGATGTGGGAGATGGATGAGGTTTAGGATCTATGTATAAGCCCAGATGTGGGAGATGGATTAGTTTAGGAACTAGGTATAAGCCCAGATGTGGGAGATGGATGAGGTTTAGGATCTAGGTATAAGCCCAGATGTGGGAGATGGATTAGTTTAGGATCTAGGTATAAGCCCAGATGTGGGAGATGGATGAGGTTTAGGATCTAGGTATAAGCCCAGATGTGGGAGATGGATTAGTTTAGGATCTAGGTATAAACCCAGATGTGGGAGATGGATGAGGTTTAGGATCTAGGTATAAGCCCAGATGTGGGAGATGGATGGGGTTTAGGATCTAGGTATAAGCCCAGATGTGGGAGATGGATGAGGTTTAGGATCTATGTATAAGCCCAGATGTGGGAGATGGATTAGTTTAGGAACTAGGTATAAGCCCAGATGTGGGAGATGGATTAGTTTAGGAACTAGGTATAAGCCCAGATGTGGGAGATGGATTAGTTTAGGAACTAGGTATAAGCCCAGATGTGGGAGATGGATTAGTTTAGGATCTAGGTATAAGCCCAGATGTAGGAGATGGATTAGTTTAGGAACTAGGTATAAGCCCAGATGTGGGAGATGGATTAGTTTAGGATCTAGGTATAAGCCCAGATGTGGGAGATGGATTAGTTTAGGATCTAGGTATAAGCCCAGATGTGGGAGATGGATTAGTTTAGGAACTAGGTATAAGCCCAGATGTGGGAGATGGATTAGTTTAGGAACTAGGTATAAGCCCAGATGTGGGAGATGGATTAGTTTAGGATCTAGGTATAAGCCCAGATGTGGGAGATGGATTAGTTTAGGAACTAGGTATAAACCCAGATGTGGGAGGTGGATGAGGTTTAGGATCTAGGTATAAGCCCAGATGTGGGAGATGGATTAGTTTAGGATCTAGGTATAAGCCCAGATGTGGGAGATGGATGAGGTTTAGGATCTAGGTATAAGCCCAGATGTGGGAGATGGATTAGTTTAGGATCTAGGTATAAGCCCAGATGTGGGAGATGGATGAGGTTTAGGATCTAGGTATAAGCCCAGATGTGGGAGATGGATGGGGTTTAGGATCTAGGTATAAGCCCAGATGTGGGAGATGGATGAGGTTTAGGATCTATGTATAAGCCCAGATGTGGGAGATGGATTAGTTTAGGAACTAGGTATAAGCCCAGATGTGGGAGATGGATTAGTTTAGGAACTAGGCCCAGATGTGGGAGATGGATTAGTTTAGGAACTAGGTATAAGCCCAGATGTGGGAGATGGATTAGTTTAGGATCTAGGTATAAGCCCAGATGTGGGAGATGGATTAGTTTAGGAACTAGGTATAAGCCCAGATGTGGGAGATGGATTAGTTTAGGATCTAGGTATAAGCCCAGATGTGGGAGATGGATTAGTTTAGGATCTAGGTATAAGCCCAGATGTGGGAGATGGATTAGTTTAGGAACTAGGTATAAGCCCAGATGTGGGAGATGGATTAGTTTAGGAACTAGGTATAAGCCCAGATGTGGGAGATGGATTAGTTTAGGATCTAGGTATAAGCCCAGATGTGGGAGATGGATTAGTTTAGGAACTAGGTATAAACCCAGATGTGGGAGGTGGATGAGGTTTAGGATCTAGGTATAAGCCCAGATGTGGGAGATGGATTAGTTTAGGATCTAGGTATAAGCCCAGATGTGGGAGATGGATGAGGTTTAGGATCTAGGTATAAGCCCAGATGTGGGAGATGGATTAGTTTAGGATCTAGGTATAAGCCCAGATGTGGGAGATGGATGAGGTTTAGGATCTAGGTATAAGCCCAGATGTGGGAGATGGATGGGGTTTAGGATCTAGGTATAAGCCCAGATGTGGGAGATGGATGAGGTTTAGGATCTATGTATAAGCCCAGATGTGGGAGATGGATTAGTTTAGGATCTAGGTATAAGCCCAGATGTAGGAGATGGATTAGTTTAGGAACTAGGTATAAGCCCAGATGTGGGAGATGGATTAGTTTAGGATCTAGGTATAAGCCCAGATGTGGGAGATGGATTAGTTTAGGATCTAGGTATAAGCCCAGATGTGGGAGATGGGTAAATTAATTGCATATGGTGCCTAATACAGTGACTGTGATTGCCTTTACCCATGTATTAATTGAAATGCCATCCATCTCAGGTGTAATCATCCTCCCACCTTTATTTTTTGCAGCTCAAATATGCAAATGAACAAAGTAGTGCGGGATTTCCTGTCCGCGCAGAAGGTGCAGGAGCCATTGGAGCTGTATTCAGCTTGGCTTTCTGTGGGTCATATTGATGAATTCATGAGCTTTGTACCTGCTCCTGACCGAAAGGTATGTCAAAACCTTGTAAGATCTGAACTATAGTCCAACCTGACACAGAGGAGGGGTTGATGGGAGGATAATTAAAAGGTAGAATTCCTTTAGTAGACACAAATGTGGGGTCAGACCTGAACTCTACAACTGATACTTTTTGTCCCGTTCTGGATTTACCTCTTTTTTTTTTACGAATACCCAGCTTTCTTTGTTTCACTAAAAGTGTCCCTTAACTGGGCTGTATAACACTCTGATTAGTTTTGAGTTGTGCGTGTCTCAGTAATCTAAGGTCCAATAGAGAGTGAAATACCTCTGATAGGGCTGGTGGAGGGAAGGAGTTAGAGATGTGAGAGAGATAATGTATTCATTTCTCTGTGTGTCCTCTAAATTATGGCGCAAACAGAAAAGTAGATTTTATTTCTGGGGATTTGAGGGGTCTGGTAATGCTATGCCTAAAGCCATTTAAAAAGTAAATCTCACTCTGATAATTACTTACGATAATTCAGCAGTAAAGTTACACCCCCCTGGCTGTCAATTAGACACCTGGTCCTGTTACTTCATGGTTGGTTAGATCAGTGAAGATTAACTCTAGTGGCAGCAATTGCTCAGAGCACCTGCCTTGCAAAGACTTCTCATTGAGTTGCATTGGGAAGTCTGTGATTGGACAGACACAAAGTCTGTTTTGGGCTAGAAGGGGAGGGGGTTTGCAAAGGCTGCAGACAAGAGATCTGAAGCTTTTGCAAGCCTTTTTAGATATAAAAATGTATAATTAAAATGCAAGCACCTATGTTTTCATTAGGGGGTATAGCTACTAAATAGCGGCTTTCTGTTGTATTAGGGGTATAGAGTGTCATTTTCAAAGCAAATCATTAAACTCTTTGAAAAGAAATCTGTAACGGATCGCCTGGCACCCCGACTGGGTACCTCCGTTGAAGGATGCTCCTAGCGCTTCCTGAGGACTCCAAGCACTGCAGCAGACACCAAAACCACCGAACTGGAGAAACAAATAAATTCTCCCAAGCATATGAATGCTGTAGACAGTTGAATAGGAACCATACGAATAGGTTTACTTTCCTAGCAGTCAAACTGGAACAGCATACAATGAATCCTTCCCCCAATAATGAGACGACACTTCACTTTGAGGGTTAAAACAGGAACTCTCTGTACTGGCACATACAGCCTCTTTTATTCACAATCCACAAAACCTAGTACTGCCCACAGGGTTTTGCAGAACCACCAATAAACACATTACAACACATACAATGCAAGTACAGCAGCCAATCAGACACAATGGGAAAATAGAAACACACCCAGCATATTCCTCACCTCTGCTTAGGAGATAATTGAGTCAATTACTGTATCTACTCAATTATCTCCAAGCTGAAAAGTTACTTTTTGTACATTTTTATAATTTTGTGAGTTAACATCATACATACATAAAACTTACATTTTCATAATCAATCCATTCAGGGGAACAACATATTAAAAAATGGCACGAATCAGACCAGGGGTTCAAAAGTTAAGGGAAAGTCCTTTGTGACTAAATGAAGCATTGCTTTCTGGCCCAAACCAGTTTCAGAGTCTTCTATCCTGGAGAGTAATTCAATTATCTCCCAGGACAGACACAAGACTCCATTAAGCACATGGTTGCAAAAAGACATAAAACAGTTTAAAATACATAAAGTCACCTTTTACACATAACACACAGACATTTCACATATCCCCAGATAGCTGGGATCTGAGCGCACAAAACTACTGAAGAGCGCTCAGATCCTATTCACACAGTTCAATTGCTATGGAGCCGAAGTCTTTAACTACACAAATGGGCTCCATGGCATAGCTATCTGGGTTAACACATTCTCATAAAGTCTGGTCCATAGTCCAAAGGCAAGAGGCGGGCAAGCAGCCCCCTCCAAGGACACGTGGCGAGGCCGGTTTCGCCACATTTCTCCCCTTTACCATCCAGACTAACAGGGTATCTGACCTCCTGCCGGTCAGTGCCCTGGTTAGTCCAGCAACCCACCCACGAAGCACAAACAGCAATACAGCCCACCCACAATAACTGGTTACTACACCTGGATAAAATAGCAACTTGTCCATGTCCAGGTGCCTCACCACGGCTGTGCGGGGGCTGGTAGACTGCCTTGGTGGGTTGCTGAGTGGGCAGAGACCAGCGGTACTCTGCCCGGGTGCCAGCGCTACCACTGAAGTAGCCTGGTTGTGGGAGGGGGAGACCGACTGTCTCCCCTCTGGATACACTGCTCTGTGGCTGGGGGACAGGACCGACCGTCCCTACCCCTGGTGCTGCAAGTGCAGAGACTACAGTCCCATCTGCATAGTTGTGGGGCTTAACATCTCCCCTTGGTGGGTTAGGCTGCCGCTGGAGACAAGCTCCTCTCTCTGAACTGAAGACTGCCGCTGGGGAGAGGGGGTAACCTGCTCCTCTCCCTGACACTCTCTTTGCTGGTGGAGAGGGGGACCACCTGTCTCCCCTTTCAATATTTTGTCCTGCGGCTGGGGTGCGAGACAGACGGTCTCTGCTTCCTGGGGTACACACTGCCGCTGGGGAGGAAGGACGGCACCTTCAGCTCCCTGGGGTACACACTGCCGCTGGGGAGGAAGGACGGCACCTTCAGCTCCCTGGGGTACACACTGCCGCTGGGGAGGAAGGACGCCACCTTCTGCTCCCTGGGATACACACTGCCGCTGGGGAGGAAGGACGACCCCTTCGGCTCCCTGGGACTCACACTGCCGCTGGAGATCTGGGCCGACCGCCCAGCATCCCTGTAGGGCCGGTAGAGAGACCGCCGTCCCATCTCCACCTGCCATCTGTGGGTCTTCCCAGGACCAGTCTGTGAGGTCCCTCAACATTTGCGAGTAAGGACCACCTGCTTCCGCACCTGGCAACTCCGGCTGCTGCTGGGGATCTGGGCCGGTCCCATCTCCACCTGCCTGTTGTGGTTCCTCACAGGACCAGTCTATGAGGACCCCTACTTCGGGTTCCTGCGGCCGCCTCAGGGGGAGACGGCTAGCCTCCTCGGATGCAGCCTCTACTCGGCTGCTGTAACACTCCTTCCGCTGAGCATACTCTCTCTCTTTCGCCAGCCGGAATTCTCGGGCCAGCCTTGTGTTTCGCTCGGCCGTGACCTGGTTCCAGATCACCCGGCGTACCTCCATGGGTAAATCATCCCCATACTGGGCCACTTGCTGCCTCACCTCGGCCATCCAATCATCGCCAGAGCATTCCATACTTGTCTGCTCCAAGTCGCTGGATACCTCTGCTCCCAGGGGCGCTGCACGTGTGCTAGCGTTGCCCTCAATTTGTAACTCCAAACAAACTGTGTCTCTGAGCTGCTTTACCTCGCACTAGGACGCCATCCCACCGCTTGCCACCAATGTAACGGATCGCCTGGCACCCCGACTGGGTACCTCCGTTGAAGGATGCTCCTAGCGCTTCCTGAGGACTCCAAGCACTGCAGCAGACACCAAAACCACCGAACTGGAGAAACAAATAAATTCTCCCAAGCATATGAATGCTGTAGACAGTTGAATAGGAACCATACGAATAGGTTTACTCTCCTAGCAGTCAAACTGGAACAGCATACAATGAATCCTTCCCCCAATAATGAGACGACACTTCACTTTGAGGGTTAAAACAGGAACTCTCTGTACTGGCACATACAGCCTCTTTTATTCACAATCCACAAAACCTAGTACTGCCCACAGGGTTTTGCAGAACCACCAATAAACACATTACAACACATACAATGCAAGTACAGCAGCCAATCAGACACAATGGGAAAATAGAAACACACCCAGCATATTCCTCCCCTCTGCTTAGGAGATAATTGAGTCAATTACTGTATCTACTCAATTATCTCCAAGCTGAAAAGTTACTTTTTGTACATTTTTATAATTTTGTGAGTTAACATCGTACATACATAAAACTTACATTTTCATAATCAATCCATTCAGGGGAACAACATATTAAAAAATGGCACGAATCAGACCAGGGGTTCAAAAGTTAAGGGAAAGTCCTTTGTGACTAAATGAAGCATGGCTTTCTGGCCCAAACCAGTTTCAGAGTCTTCTATCCTGGAGAGTAATTCAATTATCTCCCAGGACAGACACAAGACTCCATTAAGCACATGGTTGCAAAAAGACATAAAACAGTTTAAAATACATAAAGTCACCTTTTACACATAACACACAGACATTTCACATATCCCCAGATAGCTGGGATCTGAGCGCACAAAACTACTGAAGAGCGCTCAGATCCTATTCACACAGTTCAATTGCTATGGAGCCGAAGTCTTTAACTACACGAATGGGCTCCATGGCATAGCTATCTGGGTTAACACATTCACATAAAGTCTGGTCCATAGTCCAAAGGCAAGAGGCGGGCAAGCAGCCCCCTCCAAGGACACGTGGCGAGGCCGGTTTCGCCACAAAATCTTTACCTTGAAATTAATTATTTTGACACGGCCTATTTACCCTTTGGTTTTAAGGGATTCCGGTTGCTGTTGGCCAGTCCCCGGGTGTGTGTGCAGCTCTTTAAGGAGAAACAGAAGCAAGGCTATGGAGACGCCGTCATGTTTGAAGGTACGTGCAGATAAATATATAAAATCATTCAACTAATAATTTAGCCCCCCATTCCCTTTCTTTTAGTTCAATGCAGTAGGATCTGGCGTTGTTATTGTTAGCTCGCAGGCCATGGTAACAAGAAATATTTCATTCCAAATATGTAAATCAGCCCCCCAGGAAAGTGAACTGCACTTGTTGTAAATGTCGTGTAAATAAAAAAATAGATGTGTTTCTCCTATTCACCCCTTTGTAGTATTTATTAATTTCTTTCACTCCCCATTGTTCCCACGTATAAAACCTTTCTACATAGTGTATGGGGGTGGGAGAGGTAAAACGATCAGTGAATAGATCAGACCTGGTGATAGACGCTGAACCATTATTTATATATGGACCATACCTTCTCTACCCTTCAGGTCTTCTCCCCAGGCTACTGAACAGGAAGTGGCTGCGCTTATCGTCTCCTCTTGTCCCACCACTTGTCCGCTTGATCCTGTCCCGTCTCACCTTATCAAATCCCTCTCCCCTTGTCTTGTGCCATCCTTAATGCACAACTTCAACTGCTCTCTTTCTTCTGGTGTGGTCTCTACTCTCATTAAACTTGCTGCTGCCGTTCCCATCCTTAAAAAGGCCATCTCTTGACTTGTCTTTCTTCCTCCACTCTACTGAGAGCTCTGTGACTAAAGTTACAAATTACCTAATCACAGCCAAATCCAAAGTCCATTAATCCATACTAATTCTTCTTGACCTCTCTGCTGCCTTTGACACTATTGATCATGTTCTCCTTCTCTAAACTCTTCAATTCCTCGTTCTCTGTGACTCTGTCCTTTTATAGTTCTTCTCTTATCTCTCCAAACGTTCATTCAGTGTCTCCTTTTCCAATGACACCTTCTCCCCTTGTCCTGTCTCTGTTGGAGTCCCCCAGGACTCTGTTCTTGGTCCCCTTCTCTTCTCTCTTTACTGCCTCTCTTGGGAAACATTAATTCCTTTGGATTCTGCTACCACCTGTATGCCGATAACACAGATATATCTCTCCCCGCTGTCCTACAACGTGTTACTCTTGCCTGTCTTCTATTACTGATTGGATGTCCTCCTGCTTTCTGAAACTCAATCTCTCTAAAACTGAGTGTCTCATTTTTCCTCCTCATAATACTGATCCTCCTCTTTTGCCTTCCTTGCAAGTTGATGAATTCGGACGAATTTCAGGCAATTCGAACATTCGGGTACTTCCGAATGTCCGAATAGCAGAGGTCCCGAAGTTCCGAAATTACAGAATTTCCGAAGTGTCAAAGTGCCGAAGTTCCGAAGCACAGTATTTCCTAAGTACTAATATACTTACCCAATGAAAGAAGAAGAATGTTACATTGTATACAATTTTAAATAAAAAGTATACAAACATAGCCAGGATTCAGCTGTAAGCATTTGCAACACTTACAACAATCAAGTAACATACATTCATATAAAATGTAAGTTACTTAGCCTGTTAATGGAATGACAGGAATGAATAAGTAGATTCCCACGGTATTAGAGAGCTATCTACTAAAAGGCTGAAAGACCTAAATTGGTCTTTCAGACAAATTTACTAATACTAAGTAAAGATTACTTAGTATTAGTAAATTATGCCCCTACTCGCTATACCACGAGTAGGGGCATGTCTGTTAAACAGTGAGCAGCCTGTGGCTGCTCACTGTAAAAAAAATAAAAAAACACGTCCCCCTCCCAGGCCCCCACCCGTGCCGCACAAGTGGGGGCTTCTAACCTGAAGGGGGGACCCATTGGCCCCCACCCCTGAAAGGCGGGTGGGGGCCCTAAAGTAAAATAAGGGGGGGGACCTATTGTCCTCCCCCCGGCCCCCACCCATGAGCGGTGGTTGGGGGCCCTAAAGTAAAATAATGGGGGGGGGGACCTATTGTCCTCCCCCCCACCCCTGAGCGGTGGGTGGGGGCCCTAAATACCAATTGGGGGGACCTGATCGGTGGGTGGGGGCCCTAAATTAGAATGAGGGGGGGACCTAATGTCCTCCTCCCTGACCCCCACCCCTGAGCGGTGGGTGTGGGCCCTAAATTAGAATGAGGGGGTGGACCTAATGTCCTCCCCCCACCCCTGAGCGGTGGGTGGGGGCCCTAAATAGTAATTAGGGGGGGAACCTAATGTCCTTCCCCCTGGCCCCCACCCCTGAGTGGTGGGTGGGGGCCCTAAATAAAAAATTAACCCCCCCTACCCCAGGTGACTAGAGGTCTCCAAACCCTGGGGGCCAGGGGGAGGACATTAGGTCCCCCCCCTCATTCTAATTTAGGACCCCCACCCACCGCTCAGGGGTGGGGGCCGGGGGGAAGAAAATAGGTCCCCCCCATGCCACTCAGGGGTGGGGGGGCAATAATTTAGGGCCCCCACCCACCGCTCAGGGGTGGTGGCCAGGGGGTTTAGTTTAAAAGCCCCCACTCGCGCGTCGCGGGTGGGGGCTCGGGGGGGGGGGACTAAAGATGCCCCTACTCACGGTATAGAGAGTAGGTGCATAATTTACCAATACTAACTAATCTTTACTTAGTATTAGTAAATTTGGCTGAAAGACCAATTCAGGTCTTTCAGCCTTTTGGTAGATAACTCCCTAATACTGTGGGAATTAGGAAGTTATCTACCAAGCGGCTGCAAGAGAAGTTCAGAAATTCCAAAATGTCGAAGTCTCGAGGTGCCGAGGCCCCAAAGTTCTGAAATTACCGAATTTCTGAAGTGTCGAAGTGTTGAAGTCCCGAATTTCAGAATGCCGAGCCGAACCGAAAAATGTTCCCATGCACATGCCTAGTACCTGCATCAGTCCATCCTTGCAAGCTCGTTGTCTTGGTGTAGTTTTTGATTCTGGCCTCATTGTTGCATTTCACATCCAGTCTGTTGCTAACACCGGTCAATTCTACCATAAAAAAATTGCCCGCATTTGCCCCTTTCTCACGCAAGATCCTGCCAAGGAGCTTGTTCATGTTCCGGTAATCTCTTGCATGGATTACTGTAATTCTCTTCTAGTCGGTCGCCTAAGAAGCCGTACTGCCCCGCTACTAACAGTAATGAATGCTGCCGCCAGGCTGATCTTTCTCACCTGTTGCTCCTCCCATACTTCGCCTCTCTGTTGATCCTTACACTGGCTTCCTGTATCCTATAGGTGTCAATTCAAAATACTAACCCTTACCTATAAAGCTCTAACCAACTCGAGCCAATGTTACCTTGCTTCTTGGAGTCATAGGTATGTCCCTTCTCGGTCTCTCCACTCTGCCTGTGACCTTCTCCTGTACTCTGCTCGCATCCTTACTGCAAATTCGTACTTGCAGGACTTTTCATGGGCGGCTTTCTATTGGAACAGCCTGCCTACACCCATCAGATTCTCCCGTAGTCTTCAATCATTTAAGAAGTCCCTCAAAACCCATCTGTTCAAAAATGCTTATGGCCTCCTAGAGTAACTTCTTGATACTTTAGAGAGAGAGTTCAGAGAAGGACTACTAAGCTGGTTCATGGATTGCAGGATACAATTTACCAGGAAAGGTTAAAGGATCTTAACATGTATAGCTTGGAGGAAAGACGAGACAGGGGGGATATGATAGAAACATTGAAATACATAAAGAAGAAAAAACTACCAAACAAGAGGACATAGTCTTAAATTAGAGGGACAAAGGTTTAAAAATAATATCAGGAAGTATTACTTTACTGAGAGGGTAGTGGATGCATGGAATAGCCTCCAGCTGAAGTGGTAGAGGTTAACACAGTAAAGGAGTTTAAGCATGCGTGGGATAGGCATAAGGCTATCCTAACTATAAGATAAGGCCAGGGACTAATGAAAGTATTTAGAAAATTGGGCCGACTAGATGGGCCGAATGGTTCACATTTGCTGTCACATTCTGTTTCTATTTCACTAACCTGCTGTTGCTGCTCTCTATTAAAGAGCCACACTCCACTTTCACCTCCAATCCTGCTACTTTCCCACATTGTTGTTCGCTGTCCCCCATGCTGCCATTCCTAATGTCCTTTTATAATCCATTCCTCTAGATTGTAAGCACATCTGAGTACGGTCCTCATCTACTTATTTATTTATTACTGGTATTTTTTTAAAGCCCCAACAGATTCTGCAGCGCTGTACAATTAGTGGAGAACGTACAATATACACCGACAAATACAAGAGGTCGAGAGAGCCCTGTCCGTAAGCTGATAACTAGCCATTGGAGCTCTTTTATATAAAGTGCTTAGCTAGATGGCCCATGAGCTTACAATCTAAAGGATACAATGGGGATTTGAGACAAGAGGTAGCAGGGGAAAACCTGTACCTGTAACATTTTATAAATGTCCTCCTTTCATACTATAGTAAAGCGCTGCTGCATACGTTGGCGCCATATAATTACCAACAATAAAAACATCCCTCATCTATTACTTCCAGGGCTAGAAGCTTCTGCGCAGATTGAACAAGTCACCATAAACCAAATCCTGTGTGATGAAACATTAAATGAGGGCTTTAACTCGGCTCAGGTGAGTAAGCGCCTGGATTTCACATAATACTGCTTAACAGGAATTTTAGAACTTAATATATCTATTTTATATGGATAAATGAACTGCAGTTCATGAATCATGCCCATTAAAGTTTTTAATTTTTATTAAAAAACAAACACTGTGACAAAACCAATAAATCTTGACTTTCTTTCCCTGTATAATTTACTGCTCACTTAATACGGTCAGCAGCTTAATGACAAGTACAACTTATCTCACCACGGAGAATGTATGTACAAAACACACTTACCTCTGCTGTCCTCTCTCCCCATACTGTGTTTCCATACATTCAGGAGGTGTGAGCAGGGAGTGACACACTTACCTCTGCTGTCCTCTCTCCCCATACTGTGTTTCCATACATTCAGGAGGTGTGAGCAGGGAGTGACACACTTACCTTTGCTGTCCTCTCTCCCCATACTGTGTTTCCATACATTCAGGAGGTAAATGTAATTGGATGAACTTAAAGTCTCTCATTTGAATATAGTGAAACCCCATATGCATCGAGCAGACCGAAAAAGAACTCGAAGTAAAAAAACCTTCTCAGATATACAGACTAATATAATAAGAACAGACTTAGAAATACACAGTCCATAAAAACCACAATATATATGGGAAACACTACCCAAATAAATATTGAACAATCAAACACAGATAAAAAGACCTTTAAATGCAAAAGTATATAAAATTGATATCTAAAAAAAAAAAAAAAAAAGATTTTTTAGATATCTATTTTTCTTTCGTTCTGGTAGATGCAAATGAGGTTTTGCTATATTTAAATGAGAGACTTTAAGTTCATCCAATTACATTTGAAGGGATGGACTTAGTTTTGCCCTTAAATAATGCCCAATTGACAAATGGCCGATACTCACCTGACGAAGTCGGAAGGCGAAACGCTTAGACGCACTGTCACGCCGTGGGCAGAGCTTGAATCCCGCGACCGATTTGATATTGCATCAACGAACCATTCCGATTGATGACCAAATCGCAGAGAGGTCAATAAGGATCCCCTGGACACTCATACAGATAAAGGAGCTGTCGGTTTCGAACAGCTACTGGGGTATAAGGATCTTTTGGGTCTCAGCACCTCCAGTGGACATCCTGCTCTACTTGGTTATAACCAAACCGGCTTTTGTGAGTAGCGGTGTCTTTAAACCGCACATGCTCACTTACTTTTATTCTGTAAGCGGCTGCACAATTGTCGTTTTTACTTATTACTTTTTTGCATTAATAGCTATAATACATTTTAAAATGTTCTATATATAAATGTAATACAGACTATACTATTATTTGTTCTTTTTTTCTTCCATATATGACCTTACACTGAATTCTACCTGAGCAATTTTAAGTATTTGCAATTACATGTATTTCTCTTTTGCACAATGGGTCTGTAATTTTGCGCTCCACTTCTATTCATATTTTGCAAACTGTGAAAAGTGACACTGGATTGATTGCAGTACAGCAAATCAGACGATGGGACATTAGTCACTAATTGAAGCGGTGCCTAGCGTCCTTGCTGTATTCACACAGATTGTCTAAGTTACTTTCTACCCATTATTAGATTGGAATCTTTTTAGAATTATTATATTCAATAAATTCTCTTTAACCTTTCCTTGTCATCTTTGTTCCTGCCTTAGAAAGCCATTGATCGAAACAGAAAGATTATGAAGGAGCAGCTCGGCTTGTCAGAGGAAGATATTATCGATCTCCCGATTCTCTATTACAAAGAGGGAGATAGAAGCACATTCGGTGCATATTTCCCCAACATGGTGAGCATTTAGCAAAGTTATGGCAAACTGCTGGAACTGACGTTCATTTTTGAAACGGAGGAGAGTGGTTTTACTTTTCACATCACAGGGCGATCTATGCACTGAAGTGTGAATTGTTGGGAATATAAAGCGAATTTCAAAATAAATTAACTGAAAACATCCAATTCAGTTATTCTGGCTTTAAAAAGTGAAAATTCCAGGAAGTTTTTTTTTTTTTTTGCAACAGAATGTAAATTCTCACTTTAGAGAATAAACCTTATAGATGGCATAGGTTGAAGAAGGCAGGACCTCACTAATGCCATTTTCTTTATTTCCCAAGGTAAACATGCTGGTTCTGGGGAGTTATCTGGGAATCCCTAAGCCGTTTGGGCCACTAATTGATGGCAAATGTTGCTTGGAGGAAAAGGCAATTAGTCTTCTGGAACCACTTGGTCTAAACTGCACATTTATCGATGACTTTGAATCCTATCACCTGCTTTCCGGAGAAGTTCACTGTGGAACAAACACCTTGAGGAAGCCATTCTCTACGAAGTGGTGGGAATGCGACCTCTAACGTGAAAGAATCCACCTGTTACCAAAAACATTCCTTGGGAGCCTCCAATCCTACACGTTATTGGTATCCCCAACTAATGTCCTAGCGGACCAAACTCACTCTGATGTGCAGAGAGCTTTTCAATCCTCAGCCAGTTTAAAGATATTTTACACTTATTTCTATTTTTACCTGTGAAACAATGTAAGTGCCTTAAAAGAGACTCGTGTTTTAGGGAACAGTCCCCACTGACCAGTCTGACTGCAAACTCCTGCTTGCCCTGTGTGTATAATATTACAGACCAGCTCTGTGTGGGTGTAACGATCCTTGAACATGAGAACCTGTGAATACATGAACACTGTTTTCCTTAATTTAATAATTGGAAATGCTGTTTGTAGTTCTATAAAATGTTACATTAAATACCTGTAATGGGAAAGCCCTGTTTGTCAGTCATCTGGGAGTTTGATTTAAAAGGAGACACCAGGCACCATAACTGCTTCATCTCATTGAAGTGTTTATAGTGTTTGGAGTCCCTTGGTGCTGCTCTTCTATTCAGCATTAAACGATTATTTTTGGCCTTTACATAGCACTAACTTATTCTGCAGCAGTTTACAATATTATAAAAAGGGGGGAATTTAACATAAAACAATTACAAAATGTTACAGGAATAGGTTGATGAAGAAGACCCTGCTGAAACGAGTTTACAGTCTACAGCTATAGCACCCATTGCTGGTATGAATTGGTATGGCTAGAAGGAAATCTGTGCCTTAGCCACACCTCCTCTATGGGAAGCCAGGGAGCCTTAGTGTTAAAGTATTAAACTGCTCCAAAAACGACTTCTCTGACTGGAGGGACAGCGCCGGGGGAACTCCAGGCACTATAACCACTTCAAATAAATGTTATAGTGCGCACAATGCAGACACAAAGCACCCAACTCACAGCCATAATACAGCTACCCCTTCTCACTGCGCAATCTGCACAATTGGGGTTTTATTGCACATTTTAAACCATAAATACGACACATTTAGGGAAAATAAATCTCTAGGTCGGCTATTGTAGCATGTTCAGTACAGAAGGAATGCAGCATTTACCGATACAGACACAGAGTTACCATGGGGAGGGCAATGCTTTGTAAACCAGTCATTAACTCCTTCAGGACAAGAAGCCAAGTTAATGTGACAACATCATCAAAGCTAGGTAAATAGGACATCATAAAAGGCCTAATGAATTAGGAATGGGAGACAGCCACGTAAGAGATTATGGCACACTATAATCAGCTATAAATGGTCTACACATCATTTATATTGCTACCAGGTAAGATTAAACAAATTAATGGGTGTATGTATACGAAAGGAGCCAGGTAGCTGGAATTAATGCCTGTGGTTGAGCAGGAAGAGTGCTGCAAGACAGCATGGCTGGCGACACCTAGTGGTAGAAATAAGGAACGTCCATACAGGTAAGGTTGTAGTTTTTTAATTGCCCAAACTAATGCCAGACACTCTTTTTCAACGGTGGCATAGCTGACTTCGCGTGGTAATAGTTTCCTGCTTAGATACGCCACCGGGTGGTCCATGACGTCGTCTCCCAGCTGACTTCATACTGCTCTCAGTCCAAACATTGAGGCATCTGTGTGAACGAGAAACTTTTTAGTATGATCAGGTGCCGCCAACACAGGAGATGCACTTAACGCAGCTTTGAGTTTCTGGAAAGCCTCCTCGCACTCAGGGGACCAGGTTACTTGTCGGGGTAGGGACTTTTTGGTGAGGCCAGTCAGAGGTTTGGTTAGGGCACTGTATTCAGCTACAAATTTTCAATAATAACCAGCGGTGCCCAAGAACGCCATGAGCTGTGTTTTAGTCCGGGGTTGGGGCCATTGTGTGATGGCCTCAATCTTGGCTGGTTCCGGCCTCTGTTTCCCTGACCCTACTCTGTGTCCTAAATACTGGACTTCAGCCATGCCTACGTGGCATTTTTCGGACTTCAAGGTGAGCCCTGCATTTTGAATCCGGTTGAGCACTACTGAGATGTGTTCCAGATGGGCCTCCCAGGTGCCACTGAGGATAGCTATATCGTCCAGGTAAGCACAAGCGAAGCCCTGAAATCCCTGTAGGAGCCGGTCAGCCACCCTTTGGAAAGTAGCCGGGGCATTCTTCATCCCAAATGGCATAACCTTAAAATGGTATAGGCCAAATGGGGGGACAAATGCTGATTTTGGAATGGCCTCAGGCTCCAAGGGGATTTGCCAATACCCCTTACACAAATCAATATTGGTCAAGTAACTCGTCCACTCTGGACATGGGGTATGCGTCTGTGACTGTCCTATCGTTTAGTTTGCGGTAATCCACGCAGAACCGTGTGGTACCGTCTTTTTTGGGAACCAGGACCACCGGGAAAGCCCACAGGCTTTGAGACTGTTCTATTACTCCTAGTTCTAAGATGTCCTGGATCTCTTAACATGCTTTCTCATACTGCTTTGGGGATTCGGTAGTGCTGCTGCTGCAGGGGTAACTGGCCTGGGGTCTCCACTGCCAGGGTCGTATAGCCGCCGAAAACATGCCCCCAAATCCCTCTAACAGTTGTGAAGCCTGAGCTTGCTCCTCTGGGCTCAATTCGGGGCCCAACTGTACCTGTTTTAACCCTGTAGGTTCCTGAGGGAGCTTATCGGGTAAAGGAATACCCTCATAAGCTGGAACGCATACTGCGGAGTTCTCCTCTGTTCTCTCGAGATATGGCTTGAGCATATTTACCTGGAAAGATCGTCGAATCCTTCCATCAGAAGTCCGCCACAATGTACGTGGTATCACTGATGCGGTCTATCACAGTGTAGAGACCCTGCCAGGATGCTTGTAACTTGTCGGTCTTAATGGGCTTTAGCACCAGGACCTTTTGGCCTACTTCCAATATACGGTCTCTAGCTCCCTTATCGTACCAGTGCTGCTGTCGCTGTTGAGCCGCCTGCATTTTCTCCCGAACCGTTTCGGTCATAGCCTGCAGACGGTCCCTCAGCTCCAGTACAAACGTGACTATAGGGGTACCTGTGTCTTCCATATCTCCTTCCCAATGTTCCCGTACCAGATCTAGCGGTCCCCGGACCCATCTCCTGTATAGCAGTTCAAACGGGGAGAATCTGGTGGACTCCAGAGGTACTTCCCTATATGCAAACAGCAAACGGGGAAGGAACTTTTCCCAAGTCTTTTGGGAGCTGTTGGGTAACCACCGCTGTGAATTGGGTTCCCTGATCCCACCCTAGTGAACACCTGAACCAGTGCTTCCGCCGTCTCCGCATGTATATTTGACAGAGCTATTGCTTCTGGATAGTGGGTAGCATAGTCCACCACAGTACGAATGTATTTCTTGCCGGATGGACTGGGATTGCTGAGTGGCCCGACTAAATCGACGGCCACCCGAAAAAATGGTTCCTCGGTTATGGGTAGAGGACGCAGTTTTGCCCGGGGGTGATCTCTCTTTCCTACCTTTTGGCATACGTCGCAGGTCCGACAGTAATCCTGTAACTCCCTAGGGACCCCCGGCCAGAAAAATGACTGGGTGAGTCGGTCTCTAGTCTTTTTTTTTTTATTCCTAAGTGACCTGCTAGGGGAATATCATGGCTGATCCGCAATAATTCCACCCGATACTTACGGGGTACGATTAACTGTCTTTTTTCTACCTGGCCCGCTCCTTTCCCTGTTCCCCCTGTCACCCGGTACAGTAGACCCTTTTCCCAGGTAAATCTCGCTTGATCTCCGTCTCCCTGAGGTTGGACTGCCTCCCTCTGATACCCTCTTAGTGTGGGATCCTTCCGCTGGGCTTGCCACTAGGCCTCGAGCTTCCAGCAGTTCCTTCAATGTTGTTAGTTTCAAGCGTTCGTATCTATGCGCCATTCACTACTTGTTTCGGTACATCTGTTCAGGAGGAAATCTCGCCGCTTGCCAACAGTGTAAAGGATCCTGCTATTCGTGCAGTGCTGATCCTTGTAGTTTCTCCCGAAATCCAAGCTGAAGTAGAGTAAAGTAGTGATTATAGCTCCCAATCCCTCAAACATGAGTTGAGACTTCATGAAGGGGTAAAACGATCAGATTTAATGAGGGCTACCTGCCCGCTATTTATGCAGGTCTCCCACCTGGTGGACACTCCCCTAGGGGACCAGATGGAAGACTGGGACAAAAGAAGTACAGTAGCCACAGTGGCTCAGGTATAAACACTCCCCTTTGTATAGGTAAATGCCTCCTCTCTATCCTGGAGATAATTAACTTAAGTGGTGGAAGAGACCCTAATTATCTCCAGTAAAACCTGTCCTTTCTATATTTTCATAAAACAGTATTAAAATCTATAACTTGTATTTCACCGAACGTAGACTCTAAGTCCTACATACCCCCAGATAGCTTGGATCTGAGCGCACATTATAGTCGAATGGCGCTCAGATCCCACGAACACAGTTTTCAATATCGTTGAATGAAGTTTTAATTCACTGATTGTTCGCGAGATTACATCTGCAAAGAGTTCCATAACTGTAGCTACCTGGGATCGGTCTATCTCGTATAGTATAAAAGTCCCGAACGGTAAAGTGTTCCAGGTATTCGTGAGTTTTTAGCCGTATGAACAGGGAACATGGTAGGCGCCAGCGGTGTTAGGCTAAATAAGTATCCGAAAATAGTTCCAGAGAATCACCGCAATCTACCGCTGAGTGTTCTAAGATTTAAAATGGCGACAGCCACGTGTTCGGCAAACGAACGTGGACCACCAAGCCTTTCCTCAATTACCCTGTGGTTAACCGCAAGGTCTGGGCGGTAAATGAGCTGCACACTACCTCAATGGGAGGTCGAGTGATTCGGTAGTTTGTTCGCTTTATTGCAATTGCACGAAATAGCCACACATACGAATAAATAACCGAAATGCTGTTTCTCTGAATCTGTTTAAAACGGGATTTCATTACAGAAGCTACATGGTAAATATAGTAAGTGTGAAAACAATAGTTTTTGACCCAACTCAATAAAGATCCCCACAGTGCAAATAAATGTGTTGAGCACCATCTTCATATCTCTGAGTTTTGTGTTTAATCTCACCACAATCTTTCTGGTACCTAGCCATAGTCTCAGAGAGACCAGAACTGGAGCCTTGCTGGTCAGACACAAAAGGTCAAAATGTGCAGTCCATGGTAGGTTTCTGGTATCTGGGCCTCTTGTATGATGTTTTGGTTTAAATAAAGCGATGTTTAAACAGTGTCTATTGCTAAGGGTACATGCAGAATTTCTGTATGAAGTCTAAAACACATGGCTCTCTGTGCTCATTTGCATGTCGAGCTGGGAATATTGAGTCTCCTCTAGGGCTGGTTAATAAATTTTATTATATCCTGATTGCACCATAAATGATAGCAAATCGTGCATAATATAACTAAAAAAGGAACAAAGCATAAAATGAAGTTTTTACACAAAGACGTCTTTATTTAGACAATGAACTATATGAAATATAAAACTTGTAACAGAATGATACATCAGTAACCCACAAACCTCTTAGATCAATCCAGACTACCATAGGAAGACATTGCTGTGGTTTGGTTTAACTGCGGAGCCACAAGGAGTGGGCAGGTTACTTCCACCCCCCAAACAAGGAAGCCTAATGGGACTTGCAGTTCAAGAACTAGAGTTATTATACCCAACCGCAGACATGTTCCCCTAAGTGACAGAGCTGGGTGGGGAGAATAAACAAAAAAGTTACATTTAACAAATTAAGATGTGGAGATGAATAATTGGAGTGGCTGCATAGGGTGTATATTAACATTTAAGGCCATGGAGCAGGTAATCTGTGGAAAACATGGCTCAGGAACCAGTTCACCATAGGATGACCCATACAACCATGCTCAATATGGTTTCAAACTAATTCTGAGCCGCCTCCCCCTCCCCCCACACCAAGTTTTGGGACAGGAGTGGAAATTAATGCACAAAAATAATGGCTATCGGCAGAATCCTGCTCTAACATCAAGCAGTAATAAGCGCTGTACTGAGTGGCTGCCTTTTCCTCTGAAGTTAAGCTGTGGATACGGACAGATTCTTCATGCCCAGATCCCTGGCACGCTTACTGGGCTAGGGAAATTTTTAATGGAGGATAAACAATACACAATAGCAGTTTCTATAAAGACTTTATCTCCTCATTCTTTTCTAAATTCTAACACAACATAACAGAAAATTAGTGCCCGATGCAACTTTACCTGCTGTTCAAAGGTCTGCAAATCCCACTACCAGCAAAATGGCTGAGCATAATGAGAGTTGCACTCAATCACATGACAGTGAGCCAACAGCTGGACACCTTTAACAAGAACACTATGAAACAAACTGGTGGGAATGGGAGGTTAACAAGGCACCAGAAGTGCTGGAATGAAAAGTCAATCTATGCTCATTCACAAGGCACCGATTCTGTCCAACTGAAAAGATTTGGGAATGCCGAGGCTGGACCAAGCGCCTGCTGATTATTTAAAAGGAAAAATAAAAATAAAACACAAGACAGCTGCCTAGAGATACCTACAGCATTTTCTGCAACTCGGGAACAAGCTCCTTGGGTTTGATTTATTGTTTTACGAAGGCCAAAGGCTGCGCGCAATAGTACCAGGAAGTGGCTGGTTAAAATGGTGAGAGGTACCAGTATTTTGCAGTCTTTTTCTTGGCCTTTAATCAGACGCCCACCTAGCTCCCTTTTTAAATCCCCCAAACACATTGGGTCAATAGTCTCTGTAAAGATTTAGAAAAAGGAAGGAAAACATTTTTCAGCCAGTTTCTGGGAGAAACAAAAGTAGAGAATGCAGATCATGTAGAAGGAATGTAAGAACGAGCAAAGTCCTGGTACCCTCGGCGAGATACAGCTGCCTTAACCCTTTCAGTACTGGAGATGCCTGCCAGGCAGTCGTAGGTGGCACTGAAAGGTGTCTTTAGGGGTGGGAGAGGAGTGGTTGGAATATTGCATCTCCTCGCAGGGCAGGAGGTTCATTCAGCATCACAGGGTACGGGGGTTGTACTCTGGGAGCTTTTTCAATTTCTCTTTGTCTTTCTCAGTCTCGTCCCGTGCTACGACCATCGAGTGCGAATAACCCATCGCAACCTGCAAAACAGGATTCAAGGAAAATGTTACAATATCGCGAGACACTAAAGGGTCAGTGACTACTGTGGGGACAGTCACTATCTTACCTGCTCTGCGTAGACACCATCCAGCGTCTTTACTTCCTGCGCAGTAGTTGAGGATTTGGCCTTGTTGTCACCATAGCCCTAAGGAGAGAAGCAAATGCCGTTTGATGTAACAATAGGATGTAATTTAGATCAAAGAGGAACAATATGCGCCATCCAGAATGTAATGTGCTGACTGTCAAGAACTTTCTGGTCTGAAAGATCATGGGATCTGAAAATACACACTAAATAGAAATATATATATTTATTTTGATTTCTTTTTTGGCTACTGGGATTTCATACAGCACAGAGAACTGTTCAATAAAAAAACCAAAAAAAAAAAACAAAAACGCACTTACCAGCTCTCCATAGGTTGGAGAAGGGCCATAGCTGATTGTGCTTTCATCGGCTGCTACAATAATACTGCTCTTCCTGGAAAAAACAAAATTGAAAAATACTAAGTACCTGCTATGAATCTGACAGCCGACATTACTACCATGGCAACAAAGACTAAAACCAGTCTAGGTTTATTTGTTGTGGATGTGGGGACGTTGGTAATGTGAAGGTAAACACTAACTGCAAGGCGGTATCAGGCTAACATTTGTTACATTGTGTCATCTATAATAAGTGCGATACTCTATGTGGACAGACTGAGGGTTCCATTAGTTTCTATAGTGTCTGCTCCAATTCCTATGCTGCAATTATCCTTTATGCGCACGCTCACTGCAGTTACATGGCTAATCGGGGAGGATGCCACTAACACAAGACTTCATAAACTCATGAATGTAAGGACTGCAGTCCGGTAAACAAATATGTTCAAATGACAGAATAAGGCTCCAGACAATAGGGAGGCCCAACTTCGCACAAGATTCTGATAGAAGTCAGGGCACACAAACATTTTGTGGCATGACAGGCTTTAAAGGAACACACGAGACAACATTTCAGTCACACAATGTGAACTTAGATTTAACAAAGAGTCGTGACGTGGGCCAAGTTCCATTACAGCTTGTAACTGCACACAATGTTGGTGTGCCTAGACTTCTCCAACGTCTATGAAATGATATATTGAACACAGATAATTTGACTTTTATATTATGTAGTTTCAGTATTACAGTCTCTGGCCCAAACCAAAGTTTACGGTACAACTGGGATTTAGAGGTTTTGGAGAATATCACTGACACCATTTGCATGTCGGCGCTAGGTGTGCTAGTTTAGGCATTGGAGGTTTTTGTGAATAGGATTGTTTAAAGAAAACAAAATTTTAAAAAGTGGCAAAAGTTTAATTATAGAACGTACATTTGTGTAACCCAGGAAGTTTGGCCTTACAGGTAGGTGAGCAAAGCAGTGACCCAAATGGTCTACCAGGGAAAAATAAAAAGCATTTCACACTAAAAAGGACAAACATGGAATCCATTAATTGTATTTTAAAGCTGCAAAGCACAACAGACATGACATCAATCCTTACCCACACGCCAAGCTTCTGACCTTCCATCCGCACAGATCCTGCACAGCTTTGGGGTACATAGTGGAATCACGTGAAGTGTTTGTTGCTCCCCAGAAAAACAATCCACCTGAAGATGGGAAGAAAAATAAAATAAATAAAGCCTCAAGAGATCAGAACTTATAAAACAAAATAAATGTTTTATAGATTAATAATTTCTCTCACCCATCTCATTGACGGCAAAAGAACAGGTGGCACCAGCGTATATTTGAGATGCACCACGACCCGGGAAGTCAAACAGCTTTACCAGTCGTGGCACCATCTCATCCTTTTGCTCCGTATGTCCTAGCCGGCCATAACCACCAAATCCCCAGGAGAAGACGCGCTTCTGAGAGTCCAACACAAGCTGTACAAATATAGGAAAATCTATAATTTCTTGGCAGTCCACAAGCAGAATGGAGAGGTTTGAGAAGCAAAGCAAGTGCTCATACCAATACTTTGTTTATTAATCAGCAGAGAACTATCTTAGCACAGCGTAGACAAAAATGTATGAAAACTGCAATTATATTTGTAACAGCAAGAGGGCAGCAGAGCTCTACAGCATCATGGAAATGTAATAGTATTGGGGCATAGATTAAGGGTTACTCTGAGCACCACAACTACTACAGTGGTTATGATGCTAGAGAGCCTTGTGATGTTCCCAATAAGGGGACAACCCATTTTACAACAGTTTGTCTCCTGTCAAAGTCCTGCCAGGCTGGGAGATCAGCGTCCGGCTACTGAGGAACATTCATAGTCAGACAGCAACAAATGAATATCTGTGCATGGAATATGCACAAATGTAAGGTCAGCCAGCTCAGGACTCTTTACAAAAAAAAACAAACACAACTTACCAGTAATGTACAATAAGTACCCCGAAAGATTAAAGGGACACTACATGCACCAAAACAACTTTAGCTTAATGAAGCAGTTTTGCTGTGTAGCTTATGCCCCTGCAGTTTTACTACTGAATTCTCTGTCAATTAGGAGTTAAATCACTTTGTTTATACAGCCCTAGTCACACCTCCCTGCATGTGATTAAAGTTAAATTTAAAGAGCAGGAGATAAAAATGTCTAAATTAAAACACACTGTGCTGTAAATCTGAATGAAAATGAAAACCATTTTGTTTTAATGCTGGCTGTGCCAGTCACAGTCAGGGAAGGTGTGGGTAAGGCTGCATAAACAGAAACAAAAGTGCTTTAATTCCTAAACGGCAGAGAATTGAGCAGTGAGACTGTAGGGGCACCAAACCAGCTTCATTACGTTGTTTTGGTGATTATAGTGTCCCTTTAAAGGAGCTCTCTAAATTAGGAGCTCTGGCCCCTGGTGGTGTTTGACAAATCAGGGCTTTGCCCACAGCCAAGTCTGGCCCCGGTCGTACAGAATTTCACGTATGAAAGATTGTTTTGGTTGCCAGAAGACCCTTGGTTTTGCCCAACATCTCAAAAAACAGTTTGATATGAACTCAGGTTATACAGAGCTTCTGTATTCATATATTGCAGTCATCAAATTAAATGACAGTAAAAAGAGATATTAGGGGTTAAACATAAAATTATTTAGCTATATCTGCTTTTGTTAAAAATGCAAGTTTAGTACATAACCCTCCCTGACATGTAACAGAGGGGAAGAACATTTGGTGATGCCAGTAAACACTAACCGTGTGATTGATTCCGCATGCAACATCTCGCACAACCACATTAGGAACTGGCAGAATCTGACCATCCTTTGTCTTCTCTATAAATATTGCAATCCGGCGCGCTATCAGCTCACAGTCATATTCGATACGCTGAGCACGTGCTATGTATTTACCATCAGAGTTGTGTCCTTAATTGAGAGAGAATAAAATAAATAATAAACCCTTAGATGATCAGACAGGTTTTGATGAATTGACAGTTAAACTGCAAAGTTCATATCAAATCAGAGGTAAACGTTTTCAGCTGCTGTTTTACCCTTTTGGTTAACCTAAAACTTTTACAAAACACAGAATTTGAGGACTAATAGAATATCTTCCCATTTCCAATATTAAAAGAACACTCTAGGCACCCAGACCACTTCAGCTTAATGTTTTCCTGGCACTATAAGGATCCTTTAAGGGGTCACTCCTGGGTGTGCTTTTCAAAGACAAAAAGGTTCTTGCATTTGCTGCAAATTCCTTGGCTTTGCAGCTTCTGCAAAGAGCTCTGCTTCAATTACGAAGGCACTTGGTTAATCAGGATGCTCAATATTACTTTCTGAGTGAGTTGAGCATATCCCATGGACACTGCACTCTGCCGCAGCTCAATATAACATAAAACCGCTTTATGTACGGAGCTATAGATCAAGGTCCTTGATAACTCACAGTAAGGGGAGGGCGTAAATATAATGCACCCTCCATACAGGTAGCCGGACAGGCAATAATTGCAGGATTAAATCATTGCGATAGCCAGTTTCTGTGTTGTGCAATACGTTGTGCAGTATAGTTTTTGTTGTCATTAATGCATGTTAAAGGAGAATCCTTACCCAACTGTCCATACTCTGGGCAGCCGAAGGAATAGAGGTTTCCCTTACAGTCCATGATCATACTGAACTCGGCCCCACAGGCCACTTTTGTGATGGGCTGCCCGTTATACAGGATCTAAGGAAAGAACAGACACTTAGTTTGGCTGAAGGAATACACAGGGTCAGGGGGATTGATGGGTGCACACAGTACCTGGGCAGGACTTGGCACGGCATCAGTTTTGTTTCCAAGACCAAGTTGGCCCATTTTATTTTCTCCAAATGCGTAGACAGATCCGTTCTCTGAGGAAAAACGAGGAGGGGGGCATGGAAAAGGTCATTTAAAAAACACACAAATATATGACAACACATGAAAATCATCAGTAAATAAGCAGTGCTACCTGTCAGCGCCAGTGTGTGGTTCCGTCCACAAGACGCGTGCACAAACACTTCGCCTTTCAGGCTCTCAATAGGTTTCGGGGAGTCCACTCTCTTAATATCCCCATGTCCCAGCTGCCCTTTGTCGTTGCGACCTGGAATTAGCAAAGATTTTTCAAACTTTAAATGCCACATGTGACAAAGAGGCCAATGGACGGTAACAGGTTTATTAACAAGCTCACCATCAACTGCAGCTTAAAACGCGTCTTGGAAATACACAGAAGGTGGCATACAGTCTCACAATGTACACCAGGAACACTAAACACAGATCAGCCAGCTTACCACACTTGGGACATTTTACACAATCGTTACTTTGTCACGTGTGAGTTTCCCATCCCTTACCAACTGCTAGCCCAAGCCACCATTCACCAAAAGGTAAGATATCACTCTGGTCACGCACAGTACGGCTGCATTCAGAACTCACACTGACTATCAGATTAGGAAAGACACAGAGCACCATATGGAGGTTAAGGAAACACGTGTCAATGCGTACATTCAGACGCTAAATGAACAAGGTTGGAGAATGCAGAGAAAGATTATACTAGACTTGCAAAAATCTAAACCAATACTAATCCTATTACCCTTGTTTGAATTAACTAAACAGGTAAATTCAGTTAAAACAGCTATGAACATCGAAACTCCTGTCTCTAGACATGTTAAGATAGCCCATAAAGGGGACCCTAGTGTCCTCAAATTTTTGGGCATCGAACTAATTAAACCAGACCAAAGGAAAGGCAATTGGGACCAACGTCTGAGAAGACGAGAATGCGATTGGATTTACCGTCTAAAAACATTGTCCCCTAGGGGACTAAATGAAGGTTTTTCATATTCCCCATTTATTTAGGAAGTCTCTACACCTTTTAGAACGTATGTTAATATTTAGATTTTTATACCTTAGTCAGTTTAGATATTAGCCAACATTTTCTTTTTAACGCTTAGTCCAGTAATTTTGGTTCACTGGTTAATATTACACTTGATTTAATTTAAGTTCCTTAACTCCCCCCCCCCTCTCACTTTTTTTGCCCATCCTCTTTCTTTTTGTCCCTTTATCTGAATATTATTATAGAAAAGCATAACTATATCTATACCTTTAATACTATAATTGGAAGATATTCTCATTGGAGATATGGGCAATGCAACGATTTGACTGTCTACACTTTTAAATAATTTCAAGATAACTACTGTATACAATTATAGCGATCGGCGAAATTTTCATAAACTATTTGGAGGCATGTATATATATTAATGTGGAGAATAACAGTCAGAAAGGCCAACGAGTATTCTCAATAATGTTTATAAGTTGATTCTTAAACATATAAAAATCGTAAAAGGAATGTTCACCGTTCGGGCTAAGAGGGAGTGTACTGCTTGTCAATTATTCTGACGTTGCAGTTTCATATCCCGCCCACGGTAACCCCACGTGGCCGTTAAGTGATACGTCATCAATGACGATATCCATTTTAACTCTTTGGATTGGTTAATTTATATTTAAACACCGGGGGAGTTCGGGCGGCAATTTTCAGCCCCTGACGAAGGAGTCTTGTACTCAAACGCGCGTCTGGTTTTTTTCTCTTGGATTTCCCTCCACTCACTCGAGCACCTCACTATGCACGAGGGAATCCCTTATAGACTTTCACTTTTGTTTTTTTCGTTAATTTAAATGCTAACTTTTTATGGAGCTTGGTTAGTGTAGTGGAATTAGTGTAAGGGGACAGTGCTTAGTTAGCAACTTACTATAGAACACCCACGAAGGTGTTATGAGGAGATAGAGGATTAGAATAGTGGCGTTTGTTCTCAGGGGATTTTCTCCAATTATATTAATCACTGCCTATATCGTTCTCTATTCCTCATATATCTCTCTCTATACAGTTGTTAAGCTACTTAGTTACAGATATTTCGTTTTTACTCTTATTCTATGCTATACTGTCTCCTCCACACCTATCCATAATAAGATTTCAAGTTACTACATTTATTTCGTTTTCTTTGTGGATCATCCCATGTGATATCTCACCTTTCCTAACATTTAGTATGCTTTAATTGAGATTTGGATACTGAGTTTGATCCACATAGGATTTTAGGGTTATAAGCTTTTTGAAGACACTGATACACTGTATCTTCTCTACAGTATAGTTAATAAAGTTGCAGTGTGTCACTGCTTTTGTCAGGATACATGTTTATTCAGTGCCTCTAATATCAATAGATGCTTTCCCTGTAGTTATTACCTTCTTTCTGACAATTTATAGGTAGTTTCTTGTATCATTTGGCGTTCCTTTTTACCATCATTACCAGACTAATTGGGAGTTCCCCCTTCTTTTCAGGGGAGTTATCCGATTATTGTGTTTACGCTCTTTTTATGTAAATATTTGGGTCCAAGCCCACATTTAGGTGGAACTGGTACCACCAACCTGACCTCTGTACCCTAGTCTCTGATTCAACAGTTAGCTGATCAGGGACGAAGGGTATTTAAAATATATATTTCTTTTTATTGGGCTAGGTGCCCTGATTAAAGACACAAACTTGATTGAAACCCCATAATTGAAATCCCATAATAAAAATATTACAAAACACAACCAAGCAGGGGAAGTTCTCAGTGGAATCTTAAATGATAATGCACGCAGAGATTATAGATCTCCACTAAACAGCTTTTATGCTATGATAACCTGGTTTAAAAAAAAAAAAAAGCAGAATTAGACAAATTATCCAATTCACTTTTTTTTTTTTTTTTAACTCTGGAATTACTGCCTTAAGTTCGAAATCCCCTACTCTGCTTTAGTAACTAGCCCTATGTGTGTACCTTAGACAAGGAAGCGTAATTTCTTCTAGCAAAATAACAAAAACAGTCTCCCATACAGGCTGCAGTTTGCCATTTTATAGAACAATTCATTCTGTAGAAGCAATAGATTTACTGGCCTCGGAGTACTTCCACCTTCTACATCTACATACCCCAGCTCCACAGCTTGCCCTCCGTGGTGATAAGGAGACTGTGCGCTGAGCATGGGCCAGAAGCCACAGTCCGGACCTGTATTCCGGTCAGGCAGCCATATCGGTGGGGCCCCCACAAGTTTTGTCCCAGATTACGGTAGGCAGCTGGAGAAAAAAAAAAAAAAAATTAACATTTGGTGAAGAAAGGACAATACTTTGAAACAGGGTGTAACAAGGCAAGATTATGGTGCACTTCTCCCTCCCACCCCATGTTGCTGAAGAGGTTAAAACCCCTTCAGTGACTTACCTGAATCCTGCGCCGATGTCCCTCGGCGCTTGGTTAGGCTCCGCCCACGATAGCCGGCAGGGGAGACCTAATGCGCATGCGTGGCAATAGCCGCGCGCATATATTAGACCTCCACATAGGAAAGCAGTATTCAATGCTTTCCCATGGGGACTCCAGCAACGCTGGAGGTCCTCATGCATAGCGTGAGGACGTCCAGCATCGTTTAAAACACTTTTTGGGTTTTAAGAACCCGGTAGTCCCTCTAGTGGCTGTCTGATAGACAGCCACTAGAGGAGGACTTAACTCTGCAAGGTAAATATTGCAGTTTATAACAACTGCAATAATTACACTTGCAGAATTAAAAGGACCACTATAGTGCCAGGAAAACATAATCCCTTACCTTTTTCCAGCGCCGGGCTCCCTCTGCACTGGGGACTCTCCTTCTTTCCCAGTCAGTCATTGGCTGAATGCGCATGCGCAGCAAGAGCCGAGCGCAGCCAGTCTCATAGGAAAACTAAAATCAGTGTGAGAAGTGCGGAAGCGCCTCTAGCGGCTGTCAATGAGACAGCCAATAGAGGCTGGATTAACCCATATGTAAACATAGCAGTTTCTCTGAAACGGCTGTTTACAGCAGGTAGGGTTAACACTAGATGGACCTGGCACCCAGACCACTTCATTGAGCTGAAGTGGTCTGGGTGCCTATAGTGGTCCTTTAAGGGTGATGGGAGTTGGCATCCAGACCACTCCAATTGCAGAAGTGATCTGGGTGCCTGGAGTGTCCCTTTAATGTGACACAAAATGTTTGCATAGATTATTCACGTCTTGTAAAGTCACTATTAGACCCTTCTCTTCTAGTGCTATAGAAAGTGACAATGTAGGCACTATAAACACTCCAACACACTGGTGGTTAAAGTGCGTGGAGCTCAGCTGTTATTACACATGGACGAAACAACGGAGATGCAATCCACGGAGAGAGTATCTTTGTGACATAATATAGAGCACAATTCTGTCAGTGATTTTGCCTGTGGGCGCTAGCTTCACTGTTAAAAGCTTTATCCCACAGCAGGGATTGCAGGCACCACAACTACTTTAAATCAATGAGATCAAGATCTGGCCACTAGTAGGCTCATCATAGAGAAGCTTTGAGAGGCACGGTGCATACACAACTATGGCCTCTCAGTGCAAGCAATGCTTATTGCAGTGAAGCACTCATTACAATGCCTCGAGAAGATACATTCCTTCTGAATTGTGCTGGGTTCAAAATGATCATGAAGAGTAACCTCCCAGATGACAACGGGGCAACTTGACACCTTTATAAAAGTGCTGAAAAAAATAAAATGCTGTATAAAATCACTCAAAAAGACCACTAAACGCGTTTCACCTATAAAAACCACTTCTGAAGAAGCCTTTTTAGAGGTGAAACAGCGTTAAGTGGACTTTGAGTGATTTTATACAGCATTTTATTATTTTTCTAATATAGTAATTTTTATCCTTTTAATCACTCTGGATTTCAACTCCTTTACTTCCTGTTACCATCATATTCCTTGGTGGGCATTATACCACCTATGCTATACTGACAAGAGCAAGTTCTGCTCTAGCAAACGTAAGTACGTCTTTTTATATTTTCTTTTTATTTATTTGGTAGTATATATATTGCACTATTTGGATTCTCTATAGATCACCACATATCAGCTGCTTGAGACCATCAAGACGCCTATTGTTCCATATACATACTGAGACGGGGATTGTTTCGTCCATGCGTAATAACAGCTGAGCTCTGAGTTAGCTCTAGTAAATGTGAGTGTGAACTTACTCAAGCACTCATTCACATACCCTTACTGCACTATTGTTTTTTTAGGTCTTATTTTAAAGGGTCAATTGTATAGAGACCATCACCATAGGATCTGTGTACGTATATTACTTGTATATAATATATTGCAACTTATCCGTTACCGGATATTTTAGAATACAGATTTCTAGCATCACTAAACACGTGTTCTGTCCCTTTTACCATCACTTTAAAGATATCCCCAAAACCTCCACATACCCCATGTCAGCACTCACAATGCTGGCAGCAGGGGCACATAACCAGTTTATCATGTCGGCTGTTTAACTCACCTTGCTGCTTAGGTACTTCTTTACGTCCAATCAAGTCCCAGTTGGTTGCTCCAAAGATTAGAAGTTGTCCCTTTGCTTTGGAGCCTTCAAGTTTCTATAAGAATAGACAGACCAGAATAAATGGGTATTGGACAAAGTAAAGACTAACAAAAAGTAGAAACAGACCATTCCTTGTGCAGGTGCTACATTTAGTTGTATTTCTATATGCTTATCCCACTTTTAAACGTGGGGGCCACACACGGCTTTACAGACAGCTCATTACAATATTGCATGGTATCAGTTAAAAATTTGCATTAATTCTACAATTATTAGCAGAAAACATCTGAAAATGAAGGGAGTGTTCTCAGACAGACTATGTAGAAGCAGAGGTAATCTGATGTACATAGTTTAGAGACGTAAACCACATTAGAAGCTAGTGGCTCATGGCTGTAATTACTTGGTTACAGTGGTTGGACGGGTAACACTGGCAATGTAAGAGTTTGTGCTTTGTATTGCAAGTGCGTAGGGATGGTTAAATGGATGATAACAGTGCGGCTACCTTACTATTTGTCAGAACTAGTCAGACACACGTCAAAGAACATTCACAAGGGTATTAACAGTAGTTTGTTTTTATTTATATAAAAGCAGGGTCTCCCAATCTAAGCCCTCCTTCCTACAAGAGAGATCATGAAGCCCTGAATACAGAACCCCTTCTTTAAAATGATCGGACCTCCGGGAAAGTCTTTGCCATTTACAGACTTAGGCTCTAAGTAGTGATTATTTGGTCACTCCATCAATAATTTTATATAGAAAATAATATGAGAATCATCTGCTGAAAGATTATCTTTCTCTACAAAAAGAAAAAGTACCTGAAGCATTCAGATTGTGCAGCTATTTAATGATATTACAGGCGTGAAAAGAACACCACAACTTGTTTAACTAAAAAGCAATATATGAAATACCAGACACTGGGGTTTTCTAGAATGGTTCACAGATAAAATATATTGGGTAATACAGCAATTTGGGGACTATAATTAGGTTGGAGAATTTGTATAATTCTGTATTTAGTGAATAAAGCTCACCGTACACGTTATAAACCCCAGAGCTGGTATTAAATAATAATATTAATTCTATAAAGCCCAGAGCTGGTATCAGATAATGTTATAGTTATATAAAGCCCAGAGTTGGTATCAGATAATGTTATAGTTAGTTCTATGAAGCCCAGAGTTGGTATCAGATAATGTTATAGTTCTATAAAGCCCAGAGTTGGTATCAGATAATGTTATAGTTCTATAAAGCCCAGAGTTGGTATCAGATAATGTTATAGTTAGTTCTATGAAGCCCAGAGCTGGTATCAGATAATGTTATAGTTAGTTCTATGAAGCCCAGAGTTGGTATCAGATAATGTTATAGTTAGTTCTATGAAGCCCAGAGCTGGTATCAGATAATGTTAGTTAGTTCTATAAAGCCCAGAGCTGGTATCAGATAATGTTATAGTTATATAAAGCCCAGAGCTGGTATCAGATAATGTTATAGTTATATAAAGCCCAGAGCTGGTATCAGATAATGTTATAGTTATATAAAGCCCAGAGCTGGTATCAGATAATGTTATAGTTAGTTATATAAAGCCCAGAGCTGGTATCAGATAATGTTATAGTTATATAAAGCCCAGTGCTGGTATCAGATAATGTTATAGTTAGTTATATAAAGCCCAGAGCTGGTATCAGATAATGTTATAGTTATATAAAGCCCAGAGCTGGTATCAGATAATGTTATAGTTAGTTATATAAAGCCCAGAGCTGGTATCAGATAATGTTATAGTTAGTTATATAAAGCCCAGAGCTGGTATCAGATAATGTTATAGTTAGTTATATAAAGCCCAGAGCTGGTATCAGATAATGTTATAGTTATATAAAGCCCAGAGCTGGTATCAGATAATGTTATAGTTATATAAAGCCCAGAGCTGGTATCAGATAATGTTATAGTTATATAAAGCCCAGAGCTGGTATCAGATAATGTTATAGTTAGTTCTATAAAGCCCAGAGCTGGTATCAGATAATGTTATAGTTATATAAAGCCCAGAGCTGGTATCAGATAATGTTATAGTTAGTTCTATGAAGCCCAGAGTTGTATAGTTAGTTATATAAAGCCCAGAGCTGGTATCAGATAATGTTATAGTTATATAAAGCCCAGAGCTGGTATCAGATAATGTTATAGTTAGTTATATAAAGCCCAGAGCTGGTATCAGATAATGTTATAGTTATATAAAGCCCAGTGCTGGTATCAGATAATGTTATAGTTAGTTATATAAAGCCCAGAGCTGGTATCAGATAATGTTATAGTTAGTTATATAAAGCCCAGAGCTGGTATCAGATAATGTTATAGTTATTTCTATGAAGCCCAGAGCTGGTATCAGATAATGTTATAGTTAGTTATATAAAGCCCAGAGTTGGTATCAGATAATGTTATAGTTAGTTCTATGAAGCCCAGTGCTGGTATCAGATAATGTTATAGTTAGTTATATAAAGCCCAGTGCTGGTATCAGATAATGTTATAGTTAGTTATATAAAGCCCAGAGCTGGTATCAGATAATGTTATAGTTAGTTATATAAAGCCCAGTGCTGGTATCAGATAATGTTATAGTTAGTTATATAAAGCCCAGAGCTGGTATCAGATAATGTTATAGTTATTTCTATGAAGCCCAGAGCTGGTATCAGATAATGTTATAGTTAGTTATATAAAGCCCAGAGTTGGTATCAGATAATGTTATAGTTAGTTCTATGAAGCCCAGTGCTGGTATCAGATAATGTTATAGTTAGTTATATAAAGCCCAGTGCTGGTATCAGATAATGTTATAGTTAGTTATATAAAGCCCAGAGCTGGTATCAGATAATGTTATAGTTAGTTATATAAAGCCCAGTGCTGGTATCAGATAATGTTATAGTTAGTTATATAAAGCCCAGAGCTGGTATCAGATAATGTTATAGTTATTTCTATGAAGCCCAGAGCTGGTATCAGATAATGTTATAGTTAGTTATATAAAGCCCAGAGTTGGTATCAGATAATGTTATAGTTAGTTCTATGAAGCCCAGTGCTGGTATCAGATAATGTTATAGTTAGTTATATAAAGCCCAGTGCTGGTATCAGATAATGTTATAGTTAGTTATATAAAGCCCAGAGCTGGTATCAGATAATGTTATAGTTAGTTATATAAAGCCCAGTGCTGGTATCAGATAATGTTATAGTTCTATAAAGCCCAGAGCTGGTATCAGATAATGTTATAGTTAGTTATATAAAGCCCAGAGCTGGTATCAGATAATGTTATAGTTAGTTCTATGAAGCCCAGAGTTGGTATCAGATAATATTATAGTTATATAAAGCCCAGAGCTGGTATCAGATAATGTTATAGTTATTTCTATGAAGCCCAGAGTTGGTATCAGATAATGTTATAGTTATATAAAGCCCAGAGCTGGTATCAGATAATGTTATAGTTAGTTCTATGAAGCCCAGAGCTGGTATCAGATAATGTTAGTTAGTTCTATAAAGCCCAGAGCTGGTATCAGATAATGTTATAGTTAGTTCTATGAAGCCCAGAGCTGGTATCAGATAATGTTATAGTTATATAAAGCCCAGAGTTGGTATCAGATAATGTTATAGTTATTTCTATGAAGCCCAGAGTTGGTATCAGATAATGTTATAGTTATATAAAGCCCAGAGTTGGTATCAGATAATGTTATAGTTCTATAAAGCCCAGAGTTGGTATCAGATAATGTTATAGTTATATAAAGCCCAGAGTTGGTATCAGATAATGTTATAGTTATTTCTATGAAGCCCAGAGTTGGTATCAGATAATGTTATAGTTCTATAAAGCCCAGAGTTGGTATCAGATAATGTTATAGTTCTATAAAGCCCAGAGCTGGTATCAGATAATGTTATAGTTAGTTCTATAAAGCCCAGAGCTGGTATCAGATAATGTTATAGTTAGTTCTATGAAGCCCAGAGCTGGCATCAGATAATGTTATAGTTCTATTGGTATCAGATAATGTTATAGTTAGTTCTATGAAGCCCAGAGTTGGTATTGGATGGTATTGGAATGGGTGATATTAGCCATTAATAGCATACAGTATAATACACAGTGGTCCCAGGAGCTTACAATCTTCTCCTTGGTGTGCTCGGGCTCGGTGACGATCACAGCAGCCGGGGCTTTGCTGGCCCCCTTCCCCGGGCCCCTCTTGTTGTTTTGGGCCTGGAATCCGCCGTCAGACCCCGGGCTCGCGTCCAGATCGTCATCGTCGCTGCTGAACTCGTCGCGGTCTCTCTTCCTACCAGAGGCCGCGGCTTTCTTCCTGCCCCCGGGCCGGGCCGCTCCGTTCCCGTCGGTGACCTTCTTCCTGGGCATGATCCCTGCGGGGAGACACGGGTTAATGACCGGCCGAGACAAAGAGGCCCCCGAGGGCCATGTGCTGCCGGGTAGAGGGCCTCCCACAGAAGCCAACTCACACTACCCTCAGCCATCACCGAGACACAGCAAACACATTACTGACCCCAAAATATCCCCCCCCCCCATGAGAAACCCCGAGCAATAGTCAGAGACACAATGTACACCCCAAAAATACTCCCAGGAACCCCCCAATTAACCCTCAACACCCCCTGCATTCATTAAACCCCCCAATTAACCCTCAACACCCCCTGCATTCATTAAACCCCCCAATTAACCCTCAACACCCCCTGCATTCATTAAACCCTCAACACCCCCTGCTCACTCCCAGCAACCCCCCAAATAACCCTCAACACCCCCTGCATTCATTAACCCCCCAAATAACCCTCAACACCCCCTACATTTATTAAACCCCCATCCCTCAATGTGGCACTCTTACCCCACAGCTGCTCCTGCTGCCCCTCCAAAACACGGTGTAAACCCCAACTATGCCCCTCATTCCCCAGCAAACCCTTCCCAAATCAAGGCTGCACCCCCTTCACAGCCCAGCACTTCAAACCTTCCCCCCACTGACACCCCATCCTGCAAACAACCCCCCAACTCCAGTTAAAGTCCCCCCAACCCCCATTCTAACTTTCCCAGGACTTTGCTCTCCATGTTAACTTCTAGGCAGGGCACCCCAACTCTGGGAAACGTGCTGAGTAGCCCCCCAGGGAGGGTGAGAGGTGCCCCCAGCGCCCCCCATGCTGTACCCCTATACCAGCAGCCCCCAGTTACCTGCAGACAGGTGTGAGAGAGCAGGATGTAGGAGCAGGTACCCTGGAGCCCAGATTGGGGTGAGATGGCTGGCCCTTTGTCAGCCTGTAGCAGGGAGCTGCTGCCTGTAATTGATTGGGAACAATAGGATCTCTGTCTGTCTGTGTGAGCACCACGTGGATCCGCCTTCACTTCCCTTTATCCCCCACCCCCCCTTAATCCATCACTTTCTATACAGCTGGACTGCCACCCCCATAACTCCCAGCCAGGGCTACACAGGGCACACTCCTGGCACTGCCAGCTGCTGGCTCCCACAGGGTCCTAGTGACTGTCAGTCTGTCCTGCACCCCCTCACAGACAGACACACAGACAGCCCCCAGGAGCCAGCACTCAGCACCAAACACAAACACATGGATGGGCAGAGCATGGAGCACAGAGACAGGGGACAGAGGGGCACCGTGTCCGGACAGCGACACCTGCAGGGGGAGGACTTACCCTGCAGGCCAGGGAGCAGCACATGGAGCACTTTACAGGATGTCTGGTCAGCCTGCAGCAATTCTTCCAGTCCCAGGAAACATCCAGCTCTCCCTGCATTCCCTGCTCTCTCTGCATCCCCCACTCTCTCATTCCCTGCATTCCCAGCTCTCCCTGCTCTCTCTGCATTCCCTGATCTCTCTGCATCCCCTGCTCTCTCTGCATTCCCCACTCTCTCATTCCCAGCTCTCCCTGCATTTCCCACTCTCTCATTCCCAGCTCTCTCTGCATCCCCTGCTCTCCCTGCATTTCCCACTCTCTCATTCCCAGCTCTCTCTGCATCCCCTGCTCTCCCTGCATTCCCCAGCTCTCCCTGCATCCCCCTGCTCTCCCTGCATTCTCCTGCTCTCTCTGCATTCCCAGCTCTCCCTGCCTCCCCTGCTCTCCCTGCATTCCCAGTTCTCTCTGCATCCCCTGCTCTCCCTGCATTTCCCGCTCTCCCTGCTCTCCCTGCATTCCCAGCTCTCTCTGCATTCCCAGCTCTCTCTGCATTCCCAGCTCTCTCTGCATCCCCTGCTCTCCCTGCATTCCCCTGCTCTCTCTGCATTCCCCTGCTCTCTCTGCATTCTCTCTGCATCCCCTGCTCTCCCTGCATTTCCCGCTCTCCCTGCATTCCCCTGCTCTCTCAGCATTCCCCTGCTCTCTCAGCATTCCCTTCTCTCTCTGCATTCCCAGCTCTCCCTGCATTCCCTGCGCATGGCCCAGCAAATTGCTACATTTTAGGAATCTTTCAGGATTATTCACTTAAGTGACTTTCAAAGTTAAGGTCAGAATAGTCGAAGTGGAAAGTTCTCTCAGTCTGCTCTGCTTCCAGTCCAGCTACGCTCACTTTAGTAAATAACGATCTATCTGTACCCAATGCTCCCTGTGTGTAAGGTGGGGCCTCTCTCTGAACCCCAACGTCTAGCTGTGACTGATCCCCATCGCGTAAAAGGACTGAACTGAACCCCATCCTGTACAACACAAGGTGCACCTACCATCCTTCACAGACTGAACCTTAACCTGTACAGCACAAAGTTCACCTACCATCCTTCACGGCCTGAACCCCAACCTGTACAACACAAGGTGCACCTACCATCCTTCACCGACTGAACCCCAACCTGTACAACACAAGGTGCACCTACCATCCTTCACAGACTGAACCTTAACCTGTACAGCACAAAGTGCACCTACCATCCTTCACAGACTGAACCCCAACCTGTACAACACAAGGTGCACCTACCATCCTTCACAGACTGAACCCCAACCTGTACAACACAAAGTGCACCTACCATCCTTCACAGACTGAACCCCAACCTGTACAACACAAGTTTCACATACCATCCTTCAAAGACTGAACCCCAACCTGTACAACACAAGGTGCACCTATCATCCTTCACCGACTGAACCCCAACCTGTACAACACAAAGTGCACCTACCATCCTTCACAGACTGAACCCCAACCTGTACAACACAAAGTGCACCTACCATCCTTCACAGACTGAACCCCAACCTGTACAACACAAGGTGCACCTACCATCCTTCACAGACTGAACCCCAACCTGTACAACACAAGGTGCACCTACCATCCTTCACAGACTGAACCTTAACCTGTACAGCACAAAGTGCACCTACCATCCTTCACGGACTGAACCCCAACCTGTACAACACAAGGTGCACCTACCATCCTTCACAGACTGAACCCCAACCTGTACAACACAAGGTGCACCTACCATCCTTCACAGACTGAACCCCAACCTGTACAACACAAGGTGCACCTACCATCCTTCACAGACTGAACCCCAACCTGTACAACACAAAGTGCACCTACCATCCTTCACAGACTGAACCTTAACCTGTACAGCACAAAGTTCACCTACCATCCTTCACGGACTGAACCCCAACCTGTACAACACAAGGTGCACCTACCATCCTTCACAGACTGAACCCCAACCTGTACAACACAAAGTGCACCTACCATCCTTCACGGACTGAACCCTATTCTATAATGTGTGTCTCCTTGAACCCTAATTTCCTTCTGTGATCGAACCCCGTTCTGTAACGACACAATGTTGGATACAGGTTGACCCCACCACGCCAGTATACTAGCCATTATTCCCTTTATAATGATGGAATATATACACATACTGGTAATCTGAGGAACAGGGTATATAATAAAATAACTGACTAATATCTGCTAATACAGCTGTTGTGAACCACGTGGCTCGCTGAGCATGATATGGAGTGTAGTCTACATCAGCTGCAGTGCAAGAGGTTAGCCATCTCTGATAATGGGTATCCAAAACCTTGGAGTGTTAGCCTTGGTGCCCACTAAGCGGCCAATAGGAAAGTTTGTCTGCTCCAGGTTAACTCCTTCAGTACGTAATCAGTCACGTGCCATAATGTAAAGGGATCTTCCTAAATTTGAATTCTGATTGAGAATTCAAAGTAAATTTCAAATTGAGAGTCAAAATAGCCAAACCTGAAAGATTCTCTAAGTCAGCTATGCCTCCATTTAGGCTACTCTGGCGTTAAATTTGAAATCCACATTCAATTCTCACGTTAGTAAATAACCCTGTCAGACTCCAGAGCTGTGTATTCATGCGGGGAACAGAGAATTGGAGCCACATTGCCGGCTAGTTTCAAGTGAATAAACGACTCAGGGAAAATCTAATTGAATTTACATTTAATTGTATGGGGCTCAATTTTTTGGGGGATCCTGAAAGATTATTCCATGCAGGCTGCCAACACTCCGCACCGTACCGTTTAGTAAATAGACCCCCTTAGTGGTGATGCGTGATTGGTTGCAGGACTCTCGTTATCTGCAGGGGGCCCCAGTAATATATTCTGTGTGATCACACTCAGTAAACGCCCTCACACGAGGCTCGCTTTATGGGGGTTAGGTGTAAAAATCATTGCATTTTCATTGTTGTTTCCAGCCAGTGTTTCCCTACGTACCAAGGTGGAGAAACTGTATAAAAGGCATTATCTTAATACATCGGTGCCATTTCTTTCTGCCCTTCCTGTAAGTTGCCAAATCAATCCATCTATAGTTATACCTGGCACCTTACTGGTTTGGGGTTTCCTATTTTTCTCACCAGGATTTTTTTAGAATGGGTTTTTATTCCTATTGCTTTAGCTTCCTGGAGATTTGTTCGGGTCGATATGTTTTATAGAGTCTCTATTTTGTACTCAGTAAGGATTGTACCACAATAAGGGAGGCTGCAAAAGCTGGTCGTGGCGGAAATAATGGGGCATTTCTATACCTCTAGTATTTATTATTGGGCAACGCCATTTGGGGTGTCATTATCCAGCCCGAAACTAGAGTTCCAGGCTAACTAATACCAATTCTGTGTAGAATGTCAGTCATTGTCTGTGAGTGGTCAGCTGATGTTTCGGCCAGGGAATATCGAACGCCGCAGCTTCACTGGGCACCAGGAGCATCAGAGAGTGGCAGGGACCCAAATAATGGGGAGAACGGTTTGTCCCATTACAGGGAGCCAGGCCAGGGCTGTAGTGGTTATAGTTCTTGGAGTAACCCATTAACAATGAGGCTAGCTCCAATACTGCACATTTAGATTATAAATACTGTGCAGGTATCCAAACCAGTGTCTGGCAAATATTTGCAAATTATAATTCGCAAGCCCTACCCAGGCTTTAAAATGTATAATTCTTAGTAGGTATAAAATCGCCTTCTAAGAGGATTAAACCTGCTTTCTTTAACCCCTTAAGGACACATGACATGTGTGACATGTCATGATTCCCTTTTATTCCAGAAGTTTGGTCCTTAAGGGGTTAAGGATTCCCAACGTGGAGACAATTAAATCTATTTATATTGAAAAGGTGCAGCCGTGATTATTGCTCTGTCAGTCTGTTTGTTTGACTGTTCCACTTACTGGGCTACAATTAGCATTAAAGGGTACAGGCTGTATGAATCAAGGCGTTTAATTCACTGACTCTAACGCCTTGTAAACACTAGGACTCGACACACCCAGAAACGCAGGTTTACTGAGCGACCCCAGGGAATGTAGGATAGAAACCAGAATAATTTCTCTGTCATATAACAAACGTTAACCTCTAACATGTCAAATATAAGGCCATCAGGCACTGTATGAAAGGTGCTCCCCAGCAGTCTGCAGAGACCATGCCTCGCGGTGGTGATCTCCTCTATTTATGGGATCGCCTCTATGATTTCATGATTTGAACTACAGGTACAACAAGTACTTTTCATGTCCTGGCCAACAGTAAGATGAGTTCATATCTATGCTTCCCCACTCTCCAAACACCCAGCCCACCTGAATCCCCCAATAAGAATGTATACATCCCCCGCCCCATAAGGTGGATGGTGTAACCCAGGGGTAGGCATGTTTTATATATTACACCCTTGAAGCAACTTCACAAAGTAAAATACCCCATCTCTGTGACATCACCTCTGAGACACCATTTAGTAAACGTACATTTGCCATAACTCCAGGAGAAATCTAGTGTAAGACATTGGTAAATTAAGCCATTATTTGGGTCTGCTGTTTGGGTCCCCCCACAGCTCCCAACATTTCATATAGACACTTTATTTTAGGGGTTTAAGAGAGGGCTGGGCTGTTTTGAGAAATTATAGGTGACAATAATAATTTACAAAACGAAAATGTAATTAAGAACAATGTATTTTATTTGCACAGACTGATTTCTAAACACGTTTATTGCAGTTTAAAGACACATTACTTGTCAATTACTGAACCAGCTAGCTCTCTGAACTATCTGATGAAGTTAGAGTGTATAGCCATTTGGAAAATTATAAATTAAATAATGAAAAAACAGTTGTGATGAGTATTGAATTAGATAAGAAGATAAGAGAGGAAATTAGTAATCAATATGTATTTACATGGGCACCTCAGAAATTTAATTGCTTAGGAATATTGGTTACTAAAAATATAGAGAGGATGATGGAAGAAAATT